GGGATATGGATATCTCCCTTTCTCTGATTCCTTGCTGATTATATCTTGTCATTTGAAGCCAAGTTTCTGATTGTTAAAAACGGCCTATCCATAAACTCAGGGTAGTGACTTTGATTTTGTCTAAATTGTCATCTTAGAGATACCAAACTGTCACCATCGCTTCTCACCTAGTAGCCTGACTTGTGTCATCCATTGCCCATACAGTAACCAGAGTCATCTTTTTGATCCAAGTTACTTCCTCTCAGTGACCTCATGGACTTCCCATTGTACTTCCAAACCTGAGTTTTAGTGTTGTTGACAAGGTTTTACATATTGTAGCTGTTTGCCCACCTCTGAATTCATGTCTTGACAGTATCACAGTGCAGATAGCTCTGGCCTTTTATTCCTCCTCAGTTACACGTCCTCATGACAGAAACTTGTTTCCTGTCATGCTTATCTCTTCCAAATCTCTGCTTCTGTGGCATTCTTCCTACCCTAGCCCACCCTAGTCAGGCATGGTGGCACACACTTAATCCTAGCACTCAGGAGGCAGAGGTGGACTGATCTCAATAAGTTCAAGGCCAACTTGGGCTACATACTGAATCCCAGGACAGCCAGAGTTACATAGTGAGACCCTGTCTCAAAAGAGAGAAATGATTTTTTGAGAATTACAACCTGTGGTTATCCTGTCTCCGCACTTGCTTGGTTCTTCCGTGCAAATGTAAGCTAATAGAATATGGGCCTTATCTGTTGTGTTCGTTTCCCAGCCATCTGTATACACAGGACTCAGAGCAGTTGTTCTCAAGTGCAGAGTCACAGTATCCTAGAGGTCTTGTGAGAACATAGTTTGATGGGTCCACCTCCATAATTAATGATTGACTAGGGCTGGCATTGAGACTTGATTATTTGCATCCAGAGTACCTAGGTGTTGTCTGATCCCTTAAGCAAGCACCTTTGAAATCCAAAACTGTTGAGGTAGAGCCGGGATTGGAAATCATTTTCCTGTAAACAGCCAGAGAGTAACACTTTAAAATTGGTGTTGGGGATGCAACCAGATGGGGCTTTGTAGGTGCTAGGCAAGTGTTCTACCACTGAAGTATACTCTCAGTCTTTACTAGTACTTTAAACTTTGTTGACTATGTGGTTAGGTGTCTTGATCTAGCCAATAGGCCATAATGTGCTGGTCCTTGATCTAAAAGACGGTAATTTTTGAGTCCTTTTGTTCTAAACATGACTGTTTCTGTCTGGAAGAGAGAGATGTGGCCAGATGCTTGGATGGTAAATGACAGTAGGGTGCCTGTACTTGTGAAATTCAGAATTGTGGAGAAGCGGCCACTGGACAGATAGCCACACTGGTATTTCAGTACTGTGTGGCAGGTCAAGAGAGAAAAATGTAGGATACTGTAAAAGGTCATAAGAGGTGCTTCTCGGAATGAAAGCAACCTCTCCTATCTCATGGCTGATGTCAGTTTTGTTTCTCTTTCCCTACCACCTACCGAAAAGTATTCCTCTCATTCCTTTTCTTCTCCCCGGTAGTCCTTCATCTATCTTCTACCTTGTTTATATTCTTTAGAATACTCCTCTCTACCAAAGTTAGAGTGTGTACCATGTTTACTGGTTACCACCTCTTCACCCCTCGCATATGGGACCTTTTTCTTACTAACCTCTATATCTGTAGCATCAGGTACTTAGTAGGAACACAGAATATATTTGTCTAGAGGTTGGAGAGATGGCTTAGAGATTAAGAGAGCTTGCTGCCATTATAGAGGACTGGAGTTGGATTTCTAGCACCCATGTCAGACAGCTCGCAATCGCCTGTAACTGTAGCTAGTGCCACCATCTGGCCTCTGAGGGCACATGCACATACATGTGCATGCTCATGCACACGTGTGCAAGTACACACACACACCCCTTGTGATACACTAATATCCTTGGGAGCTCATGAACAGCCAGGTTTGGGAAAGGGCTCAATTTAAAAAATGATTCTGCTATTTGAACTACCAAATTCTGATCAAAATTTAGTTGGAGGTTGGTTTTTTCCCTCCATCCTGAGTGTGATGAGAGATCTTTTATTCCCACTGAAGCCTGGCGAGAGCTTCTAGAGAAAGCCATCCTCACACCTTAGCTGGCAGAATCTAGACTTTGTCCTGATTGGTAGTTTGACCAACTGATAGACTTATTCTTTAAGAATTCCCCAAGGTGGGGGCTGGAGAGGTGGCTCAGTGGTAAAGAGCACTGGCTGCTGGCTGCTTTTCAAGAGGTCCTGAGTTCATTCCCAGCAACCACATGGTGACTCACAACCATCTATATGAGATCTGATGCCCTCTTCTGGCCTGCAGGCATACATGCAGGCAGAACACTGTATACATAATAAATAAATCTTTTTTTTTTTTTCAAGACAGGGTTTCTCTGTAGACCAGGCTGGGAAATGTTGATGGTTTTTCTACCTGGTGATTTTTAGATGAAACAGCAGGCATTTCTCTTTTTGCTGGAAGAATCCCATATTATAAGCAGGTTGTAAGGGGAAAATACTTAATGACTACCCAACGCACATTTTCAAGACTACAGAGAAGCTGAAAAATGGTACAATGAACTTTATTTTTTTAAGATTTATTCTTTTTTTATTTATGTGTATGCGATGTGCCTTCATTAGTTTATGTGCACCTTAGTGCCTGCCAAGGCCGGAGGCATTGAATCTCCTGGAGCTGGAGTTACAAGGTGGTTTTGAGCCACCTGATGTGAGTGCTGGGAATTGAACCCAGGTGCTCTGAAAGAGAGCAAGTGCTCTTAACCCCTGAACCATCTCACTAGCCCCCTGATTATTCATCTTTCTGATTAGTTTGAAGGTTGGAGATATAATGATAGTTGGCTCCTAAATGGTTCTGTGTTTATATCTCCTAAAATCAAGGCTTTCCTATTAATGTGATTATCCTTCAAGAAATTTAATGCCAGCTCTACATCATGTAATATATATCCACTTAAATCTCTTTTTAGCCAGGTGTGGTGGTACACGTCTTTAACCCCAGCACTCGGGAGGCAGAAGCAGGCGGATCTCTCTGAGTTTGTGGCCAGCCTGGTCTACAAATCAAGTTCTGGGAGAGCCAGTGCTATTATATAAGAGAAACCCAGACTCAAAAAAACAAACAAAAAAATAAACAAGTAATCTCTTCTTATTTATCTTAAAAATACAGATTTTAGAAGAATATGTGTTATAGACAGGTAGTAGTGGTGCACACCTTTAATCCCAGCACTTGGGAGGCAGAGGCAGGCAGATCTCTGTGAGTTCGAGGCCAGCCTGGTCTATAAAACAAATTCCAGGACAGCCAGGGCTACACAGAGAAACCCTGTCTTGAAAAACCAAAAAAAGAAAAAAGAAAGAAAGAAAGACATGTGTTTTAATCTGAGATTCAGTCAACATTTATACATTGAATTGGTTATGACTTGTTAAAAATCTTTTTCTTATGGGCTGGTAAGATGGCTCAGCAGGTAGAGGCAGCTAATGCCAAATGCCAAGCCTGCTGACTGAGTTCCATCTGAGGAACCCACATGGTAAAAGGAGAGGACCAACTCCTAAAAATTGTCACTTCACCACCTCGCTGCAGCACATGTATGTGCCCACACTCACACACACACTATAAGAAATAAGTAAATAGGGCTGGAGAGGTGGCTCAGAGGTTAAGAGCACTGCTTGTTCTTCCAAAGGTCCTGAGTTCAGTTCCCAGCAACTACATGGTGGCTCACAACCATCTGTAATGAGATTTGGTGTCCTCTTCTGGCCTGCAGGCATACATGCAGACAGAATACTGTATACATAATAAATTTGAGAGAGAGAGAGAGAGAGAGAGAGAGAGAGAGAGAAGCAAATGAATTAATAAAATTTTAAAATTTAAAAAAGTGGAGAAAGCAATAAAGAAGGTACCTTTAACTTCTACATATATGTGCACACCTGAACACACATACAGAAACATGGATGTGCATGCATACTCACCAAGGAGTGCCATTTGATTAGTATAATTCCATTTAAGAGGCCTTTTGAATGTTTTTCTGTTGATACTTCTCCAGCTGTTTAGTAAGATCATATACTAAGATTTTTTTTTTGTTTTGGTTTGGTTTTGGGTTTGTTTGTTTGTTTTTTGTTTTTCAAGACAGAGTTTCTCTGTGTAGCTTTGGCGCCTTTCCTGGAACTCACTCTGTAGCCCAGGCTGGCCTTGAAATCACAGAGATCCGCCTACCTCTGCCTCCCGAGTGCTGGGATTAAAGGCATGTGCCACCACCACCTGGCTATATCTATAGATCTATATATCTATCTATAATAAATCTTAGTTTAAAAAAAGAACAGGAATGTTTTTCCCCATCATTCAATAAACATTGGCCGCTTTGAGATACTACTTGTACTGAAAATACATGGAGCAGGGCTGTAGAAATGTCTCAGCAGTTAAGAGCATGTACTGCTCTTGAAGAGGATGTGAGCTCAGTTCCCAGCACCCACACCAGGTGACTGCTCACAGCTTCCTGTAACTCTGGCTCCTTGGGATCCAACACCCTATTCTGACTCTTTCAGGCTCCTGCACTCACACATGCACAATCCCACTCATAGACACATAATTTAAACAATTATAATAAATCCTTAAATGAGAAAAGAGAATACATGTAATAGGTGGAGAAATAGGAGATAAATCTGATTTGTATTGTACTCATTTTAATTCATATGCTAGTATATATTTAAAATAAAATTTCTCTTGAATAACAACTGTTTCAGTTCAGTAGTACTGTGGGCTTTTAATTTTCAGCCACAAGGAGCTTCAAAATCTATAGTCTTAATTATCTTCCCGTTTGAATAGTTAGAAGATTGGGACCTCAGGAGGTACTGGTGACTTTAATCTTTCTGTGGAACTCTTGGTGTTTAAGATACTGTCTCCACCCGCTTCGTGTGTTTGTCCTTTGCTGTTGGTTCCTTCCATTTTTTCCTTTCCTTCGTATTTCCTCCCTCCTCTACATTTATCTCCTTTCTTTTCATTCAGGACTATGAGAGTAAATTGCAGGCCTTGCAGAAGCAGGTTGAGACTCGTTCTCTGGCTGCAGAAACAACTGAAGAAGAGGAGGAGGAGGAGGAAGGTGAGAGCTAGGGCTTGAAACTCTGCCTTTTGTCTTTTTTGACCAGTGTTATCAAGTCAGTCCTTTAGCCTGCCCTAAAGCTGGGTTCCTCGGGTTTGCCTTCTATGTGTTGACCTTGTACTGAGTCTGTTACAAGATGCCCAGTGCTGCCACACTAGGCTGCGTTCTGTAGGGTGGCGGAGGACTGACAGTGTTCATACAACTTCTAAGGTTTCTAGGACTATCGGCATATAATCTTTTGGGAACTTCACATAGACCAACTCTCAACACTGCATGTTTGAACTTCCTGGGTCAGTCTCATGTAAATATAGAGCTTAATCATTGCTTACATAGTTTGTTCAATTTTCTAGTTCCCATCAGAGATTCCTTGCTGAGGATCTTGGAACGTAATTGGTGTACTCAAAGCCCATTGCTGGTAGATTGGTTTCATTATGACAAAATCTTGCCAGGTAGCCATGTGACATTGACTGGCCTGACACTGTTGTAGACTGGCCTTGAACTAAAATCCTGCCACTGCGTCCCAAATTTGCTGGGATTGTAGGAATGAGCCACTAAGGCTGACTTATTCCTGTCAGATGGCTGATTGTATTGTCTAGTCATGCTTGCCTATCTTAATTTTCCAGAACTTCTTACCTCATTTGAGGCCTTTTGTTGTTAGTTATTTTTGAGGTATGAAAGTGTACAGTATAGTAAAGAAAGACCAGGAACTTAAAAAATTGTACCTACACATTAGAATTATATTAAAAAAAAAAAAGGGAAAGGAAAAGGGGGCTGACAAGATGGCACATCAGGTAAGGTTGCTTTTTGCTAAGCCTGGTATGCTAAGTTTGATCTCTGGAACCTACATTGTTAAAGCAGAAAGCTGACTCTTAAAAGTTGTTTTTGTTTGTTTGGTTTTCAAAACAGGGTTTCTCTGTGTAGCCCTGGCTGCCCTCGAACTCAGAGATCCACCTGCTGCTGCCTTCTGATTGCTGAGATAAAGGTGTGAGCTGCCACTGCCTGACGACTCATACAAGTTGTATTTGAGCCTCTACATGCAGCAATGGCACATGCTCCCTCCTCCACTAAATAAATAACTACAGTGGAAAGTTTACAATAAATAAATATAACAAAGTTTGTTTTTTGAATAAGAGAGATGTGTGTGATCCCAACACTTGGAAGGTTGAGCAGGAGGATGAGGAGTTCAAGGCCAGTCTTGAGTACATAGCAGATTAGAAGCCAGCCTGGGCTGCATGAGACCCTGTCTCAAACAAACCAAGTGACCCAAAGCCATATTCTTTTGATGGTCGGTTTTTCCGAAGTATATATACCGTACAGGAGGGATGAAGGTTGTCATGGCTATGACGTCACTGTCACATGTGCTTCCTCTGCTCTTTCAGTTCCTTGGACACAGCATGAGTTTGAGTTGGCCCAGTGGGCCTTCCGGAAATGGAAGTCTCACCAGTTTACCTCATTAAGGGACTTACTCTGGGGCAATGCAGTATACCTGAAGGAGGCCAACGCCATCAGTGTGGAGCTGAAGAAGAAGGTATGGAAGATGATCTGGAGGCAGAGTGGGTTGACTTCAATTAAATTAATAGCCTTAAATTGACCTTTCACTTGGGAGAACTCAGCTGTTCTGTGCCATGAAATGGCTTCATTCCATATATGTGCCAGCACAACATGGGCAGTAATGAAAAATTTACAGTAGTGCTTTCTGGCTCGTTTTACAAATCGGAGGCTTTTAAATAAGATAAATGCTTCTGTTGGATTTCTGGGGAAAAAAAATCTTGGTTTTCTTTTTTTTTTTTTTTAATTGTGCATTCGTGTTTTGCCTGTGTGTATGCCTGTGTAAGGGTGTCACAGGTCCCCTGGAAATGTAGTTAGAGACAGTTGTGAGCCACCATGTGGGTGTTGGGAATTGAACCCAGGTCTTCTGGAAGAGCAGTCAGTGCTCTTAACCTCTGAGCCATCTCTCTTGCCCCTTTGTAGGTTGAGTTTTCCTGCCTGGCCCACAGTCAGGACAAATCTCTGACACCCGCCAGTCCCACAGCCATTCAGACCCAACCAAATAAACACAGAGACTTATATTGGTTACAAACTGTATGGCCGTGGCAGGCTTCTTGCTAACTGTTCTTACAGCTTAAATTAATCCATTTCTATTAATCTATACCTTGCCACGTGGCTTGTGGCTTACCGGTACTTTACATCTTCCTTGTCCTGATGGCGGCTGGCAGTGTCTCTCTCACCCAGCTTCCTGTTCTCTCCATTCTCCTCTCTGTTAGTCCCGCCTATACTTCCTGCCTGGCCACTGACCAATCAGTGATTTATTCATTGACCAATTAGCAACACATTTGACATACAGACCATCCCACAGCACTTCCCCTTTTCTTTTCTTAAAAAGGAAGGTTTTAACCTTTACACATCTCCAAAGTCAGCTTGGTATATTTGGGAATTTGGGCGTAGCTTCTCTTACTACTTCCTGCTGGAGGGGGGCGCTGTATCTTATGGGGACACAAAGAATATTTTAGGGTTATGGAGTAGTCCATGAGGGTGTATCGTCTGAGCCAGTTGCCTTGAAACGGTTCTGGATGTTGGATCATCTGGGCCATGGTGTCATCGGAGACCTTTCAGGTGGTCTTGGCTGGTCAAACCTGATGTGTCTTAATCTGGAACAAATCCATAGCCTCTGGCTTTCTGTGGAAACAAAAGCAGAGCCTCCTTTCCAAAGCAACATATCCTTATATCCAAATTTTGAAGTCAAGGTACCTTTAAAATATACATTTTGGCATAACTCAACAGCTTTTGTAATCAAATGTTTTTCTTTAGTTACGAATATCAAAGAGAACATAATCCAGATTCTCTGTGTGGTAGCCATCTTTACGTGGCTTATTTTTTTATATTAGCTTGAGCCTATTGCTTTGAACTGTAGCCTTCTAAGCCTGAAACGGTGCTGGCGCTGCTGGCTCTGCCCACTTCAGCTTCCCAACATGGCGGTGATACGTTTTCTGCCAGCTCTGGGAGCCATCAGCTCTCAGAAATAGTGAGTCTATGCTTCTATCAAAGCAGCGTGTAGCCCAGAAACCTCTTTTTTTTTTTTTTTGTACTAGCAAAGGCTAAATCCACCACACAGCTTAATGTGCCACTTGCAAAGGCCTCATTCCCACCATACTGCAGGTCGAGCATGTACGCACGCTAGGAACCCGCCAGTAGCTCAAACCGGCAGGCTGCCGCTAACTTGAAAGAGACAACTAGGAACTGTTTTTAGCTCCGTTTTAGAATTCTTTTTCTCAGGTTTTAGGTGGAAACTCTTGCCCCACGTTGGGCGCCATTGTAAATGTAGATGTAACCAACGGTCTTATTAAATAAGAAACACAGAGCCGATTCAGAGAAGAAAGCCAAGAGGTCAGAGCTAAGAGCCTCACCCTTCCTGATTCAGGGATCCTCTTCAGCCAAGAGAGCTCTCCGAAAAGGGACCTACTTCCTGTGTGTATGTCTTTGTATACTCTAACTGTTCTGCCTTCTCATTGGTTGTAAACCCAAACATGTGACTGCCTCGTCACTGCCTGTATGTACCGCCCTCCAGGTCCTTAAAGGCTTGCGCCACCGCCACGCACTTGCTATGGCTCTAATAGCTCTGACCCCCAGGCAACTTTATTTATTAACATACAATTAAAATCACATTTCAGTACAAGTAAAATACCACCACACTCCTTGGTTTTCTTTCAGTTCTCTAACTTTAGCTTGTAACTCTGAGACCTCTATGCCCCTTTGTCACCAATTTGCTTCTCTCCTGAGAGGCCTGAGAGGCACTGATTGGCAGACAAGTGTATGTGCTCTGCGCTGAGACAGCCAGAGTTTAATCCAGCAGGAGTTGACCTAATAATTGCGTAGCTCTATTGCCTCATCTACAAACTTGGGTTGCAGCAGAAGCTGCCACTGGGGAGATGGGAGACGAGAGAATGGGTGCATACAGAAGTCTGCTAACAGTGCCTAGACACGCTGAATGACCCAAACTGCTGTTGGTGACTGAACACAAGGCCTTGTGTTTCCTGAGAAGCACTCTACCTGAGCTAAAACTCCAACGCCCAAATACTGTCATTAAATTTTCACATGGAGTCTTTGATTCTTCTGTGCGTGTCACTACTCAACAGCTGGGGACCGTATTGTATAGTGTAAGAAATGCAGACTACCTAACTGGAAAATTCATTATCTTCTTCTAGGGGAGTGTCTTATATCTGTGAACTGGGGTAGGTGTCATCTTCACGCATGATCTCAGAAACACTTTGTAATTATTTTTTAACCATTCTCTTCAGTGAGTGAACTAGTCAGGAACTATATATTTCTTATTGCCGTACCTGTTGCTTAACTAGTGTTTGTTGGTAAAAATACAAGGTAGTATAGCAAGAAGTAAATGATATGATACAGTCACAATACTTACGCTGTAGTAAATGCTTTTAAGAGTAATAGTTATCCTCTGCATTTAAAAAGCTGCATGTGCATCCTCTCTCATTAGCAAATGACTGTGTCCTCCTTTGTCTCTTGGTTATGTTCCACAGGAGTCTTCACTGTCCCACTGAAACATATTTACTGAGGTTTTAGCTCGTGGGGGAAAAAATTACCACTTCAGGAAAACACAGTTTGTAAATAACTTAGTTTAAAATTAAGATTGTTCCCTGAGTTTAAAATGTAGGGCCAGGTTTTCAGCTAGCCACAGCTGTTTATTAAACGTGTGCTCTCTATTGGACTCTTTCCCTTAGTGATGCTCTAGAGCCTTGTCGCTGAATCGTACCTGCTGAATAGTGATGTGCACACTTGTCCATCTTTATTCTCTCGCTCCAGGTACAGTTTCAGTTTGTCCTGCTGACTGACACGCTCTACTCCCCTTTGCCTCCTGAATTACTTCCCACGGAGATGGAAAAAACTCATGAGGACAGACCTTTCCCTCGTACAGTGGTGGCAGTGGAAGTCCAGGATCTGAAGAATGGAGCAACACATTATTGGTCTTTGGACAAACTCAAGTAGGAAAATATTCCTAAAAGACTATTTTTTAAAAGAAAATATCCAGGTGTGGTACTGCATGCCTTTATTCCCAGCACTCAGGAGGCAGAGACAGGTGGATCTCTGAGTTTAGGGCCAGCCTGATGTATAGAGCAAATTCTAGGAAAGCCAGGGCTGCACAGAGAAACTCTGTCTTGAGGGAAAAAAAAAAAAGTGAATTGCTTAAGTGTGTTCCCTTATACTCACCTCTTTCTGAAGATGATGTCAGTTTCTCCTTTGTGGTTTCTAAGTACTGTGATCAGTCACCAATATTATCATCCATCCATTTTTTTTCTCAAATCAATGAAACTCATTTCTCAGACAACTTTGACATTTGTTGATTTTCAGATTTACTTTCATAAGCCCTCTTAAATTTTAAATGAGCCAATTCTGAATTTATTTCTTAGATCCTCTTACTTTAGTCCTGGGCCTCATGGTAATTTTTAATAAACAAGGGAGTGACCATCTCATTTCTTTTACATCTAGTATGACAAAATAATTCCCACTATGTAGTTAAATTTGTGATGTCAAACACCATTGAACTACATTTCTTCCATGACTGTAAGTTTAGTCAAATTAGATCTCTTTCTCTCCCTCTCCCTCTCCCTCTCCCTCTCCCTCTCCCTCTCCCTCTCCCTCTCCCTCTCCCTCTCTCCCTCTCTCTCTCTCTCTCTCTCTCTCTCTCTCTCTCTCTCTCTCTCACACACACACACACACACACACACACACACACACACTTCCGAAAAGACCTGACTATATAGGCCATTTTTTTTTTTACTTTGGTGGCTTCTCTTTCTCCTCACACGAGTGTTTTGGTTTCTGGTCTTTTGGCAGTGCCTGTTTTTAATAGCATTCAATGATAGAAATGGCTTCCTAAAAATGTCTTGCATGCAAGAAGTTTCCAAAGCAAAGTTTTAATGCAGTCTCATGATCTTAACTCAGTGTGCCCTGTATTTGCTAAATAGGCAGAGACTGGATTTAATGCGGGAGATGTATGACAGGGCAGGTGAGATGGCCTCCAGTGCCCAGGACGAAAGCGAAACAACCATGACTGGCAGTGATCCATTCTACGATCGGTTCCACTGGTTCAAACTTGTGGGAAGGTATGTAATGACTTCGTTGTCTTTCGAAAATAATAACAAGTACTTTAATTTTTTTTTAATGTTGGTAGAGAATATGGGGCAGGGAGAAGGATTACATAATCCTTCTCAGGCGGGGGTTGTAGCTCAACCTAGGATGTCCCAGGTTCAATTCCCAGCACTAGAAGGAAAAAACAACAAATAAAAAAACCACCGCCTCTCTAATCTTATTCACTCAGAACCATTGTATTATTTAATATGTCTACTTAAGTTTCACATAGTATGCATATTGCTTTGTCAGACTTTTAGCCAAAGTATTTGACAGTCATCTTGGACTCTCAACTTACAAAACGTTTTATAGTTGATCAAGGTAGACTGAGAAGAAAAAGACAACTTATATGAATCCTGTACAGTTTAAATAGAAATCACAGTGTATATTATCAGACTGTGGTTACTCCATAATCTGATTGGTCCTTTTTCTTTTCTTTTTTTTAAGAAGTTTGTCTTGCTTTAGTCATTGCCCAGGGCAAGTTAATTGCACACCATGGTAGGACTCTTCAGTTTCTTTTATGAGTACATCACTCTCAACATTTTATGAAAATAAAAGTGCCTTGGTGAGTTTGGAGCTTAGTTCTCAAGAGGTTTAGAAATGTAAAAAGAGGGAAATGTAAAATTTTTAAAAAGATTTTATTTTTATGTGTGTGGGTATTTTGCCTGAATGTATGCCTATGTACCATATGCATATCTGATGCCCATCTAGGACAAAAGAGGGCATTGGATCCCCTGGAACTGAACTGGTTGTGAGCTACCATGTGAGTGCTGGGAACCAAATCCTGGTCCTCTGCACGAGCAGCTGGTGCTCTTAAGCACTGAGCCAGCTCTCCAGCCCCAGTGAAGCCTGAGCTTACTAGTGTCCGAGTTTGAGTTACTCTTTAATGCCCTGTGATGGTATGTAAAGGAACTGACTGAACAGAGTTCCTGAAGTATAGTATTTTATTGAAGTCAACCTTTTCCACTCCACTCCTGACAGTAGACTAGGCTTTGCAGAGGTGGATTGGCCAAACGTGTCTCACTCCAGCATGTGCTGCTTTGGTATACACAGTTCCATCCATCTGGTTTTCTGCTCTGAGCTGACAATAGAATTCACTTAAAACCTCATTATTTCTCTCTCTCTCTCTCTCTCTCTCTCTCTCTCTCTCTCTCTCTCTTTCTCTCTAATGAGTAGCTCTTAGAGGACAGGATGCCGATCTTTTGTGTAAACTGGAGAACATCAACATTTTGCAGTCTATTATTTACCTGAGTGGTCTATTCATGGATGCTCTTTGCTTTTCTTATTCTGAGGCTCTGTCCTGATAGATCTTTTCAACCTGCCCTGTTTCCTTTACCTGAGCCATGCAGTTTATGCTCGGTTTTCCCTTTTGCTCTTCTATTTGCTTTTACCATGTTGATTCTGTCAGTGGATTCTGTCCTGTTGGCACCTGAGCGTCCTGTTTAACCAACTATTCCTCTCTCCTTGCCTGTGTTAATTGGCGTCTTACCTGGTGTCTAGCTCCCCCATTTTCCACGGCTGTGTGAATGAGCGCCTTGCCGACCGCACACCCTCCCCCACTTTTTCCACGGCCGATTCCGACATCACTGAACTGGCTGACGAACAGCAGGATGACATGGAGGATTTTGATGATGAGGCATTCGTGGATGACACCGGCTCTGACGCAGGGACGGAAGAGGGATCAGATCTCTTCAGTGATGGGCATGACCCATTTTACGACCGATCCCCTTGGTTCATTTTAGTAGGAAGGTTGGTGAGGTTATTGTGAGAAAGGCAAAAAGGGACCAGCTCTTGTTCTAAATGCCTCTTTGTGCAATTTTGGGTAATCTTGCTTTAGCCACTTATTTCATGAACAGTCCTTCTGAGTCTTCCAGTGCTTAGAGGTCTGCGAAGGCCAATGTGGCTAGAAACTAAGCACAGGCATTGTCTGTGGGTCACAGTCTACTTAGTACACTATACAGCATCTTCTGAAGACTACCTGGAGGACTGCTTGACCTAAATTGCCCAGTAATTAGTTAAGACTCTGATGTAATGGGTTCAACAAATGGTCCTGTGGTCTAGATGCTTCATCTCTGAAGAAATGTGGTTAGTGAAACATATGGGGATAAAATGAGCAGGAGCAGAGAAAGCCTGAGGTTAGCCTAAAGAATCCGTGGTGTCTCCTCAGAAATAAGAGGACTGCAGTGGACTTAGTCCTGTAAAAGAGCCAGGAGTGCCTAGCTCTCCTTTGTCAACAATGGCTGTCTTGCTGTATCTGGTTTCTGAACCTATCTACAGGTCTGGAGTTTCTGCCAGAAATAACTTGTAGGGTTTATAATCATGAATCTCAGAAAGTTATCTGTTGTCACCATCACTATTTTTTGTAGTACATGAAACTGTTTGACCTCGAGGTCCCAAGCTGAGTCATTGCCTCCGGCTCTTGGTGTACATACCCCTCTGTCAGAGATGCATAGGTTGCTGATGTTTCTGTTGTCCACATCTTTTCTTCATAATGAAGTAGTTTTAGGTTTGCTAGTAGAATGATCATTGCTTTAAGCTGGGTATGATAGTACACGCTGCAATCCCAGCACTTGGGGGTGGGACAGGAAGATTAGAGTTCAGGGTTATACTTAGCTACATAGAGAGTTTGAAGCTAACTCGGGACACATGAGACCCTGTCTCAAAAAACAGAAACAAAGCCAGGCAGTAGTGGTGCACACCTTTAATCCCAGCCAGCACTCAGGAGGCAGAGGCTGGCCTGGTCTACAGAGCTAGTTCTAGGACAGCCAAAGCTACGCAAAGAAACCCTGTCTGGAAAAAAAACCAACCAACCAGAAACCAAAAGAGTAAGGTGTAATTATGCATTAACCGACCACTGTTCAGTGGGTAAGCACTAGTTACTCATCTTCTGAGACAATAGAGACATAGGGTTAAGACTTAGTTGTCATATGATTTGGACCCCTAGTGGGAACTCATAACTTATTGTAGAAGATAATAGTAAGAGCAGAAAGAAAAGCTTTTAGATAGAAATGAAACCTAAATTAATATGGCAGTCTGAATTTTACAATACAGATTCTCCATGAACAAATGTGATGAGATTATATAGTCATGAGTATTGTTTGCTTATGGTGTATTGCCAGTGTTAGGATTTTAGAGAAGCCAATTTATATTAAAATGAGAACAGTATGTACAAAGAGTGCTTTATTTTTATTTTATTTTTTTTAAAGATTTATTTATTTATCATGTATACAGTGAGTGTTCAGCCTGCAGGCCAGAAGAGGGCACCAGATCTCATTGTAAATGGCTGTGAGCCACCATGTGGTTGCTGGGAATTGAACTCAGGACCTCTGGAAGAACAGCCAGTGCTCTTAACCTCTGAGCCATCTCTCCAGCCCCCGAGTGCTTTATTTATCTTCTGGATTTCTGTATCCCTCAGTACATTTCCGTTCTAGTCTAAGAAGGTTGGCAGTAGAATCAGATCTTGATCATTAACTTAGTCATTTGCCTACAACTCCTGTATCTACAGCATCACACTGTGCTCTACAGCATCACACTGTGAGGAGTAGGCAACTTCATCTCACGTGGCCTGGTGAAGAGAATTTTGACACAGTTGTCAGGAGGAACCTTGAGTCCTGGGCATCTCTGTCACTAACTTAGGACAAGCAACTAATGTCTTAGGAAAAAAGAACCTTAAAAAATCCTTTCTTGCCAGGCGGTGGTGGCGCACACGCCCTTAATCCCAGCACTTGTGAGGCAGAGGCAGGTGAATCTCTGTGAGTTCAAGGCTAGCCTGGTCTACAGAGCGAGTTCCAGGACAGGCTCTAAAAGCTACACAGAGAAACTCTGTGTTGAAAAACAACAAAAAAAAATCCTTTCTTTCCCTTCATCTTTTATATTCTGTTATCTATACTAGCAAAATGAATGTAGCCATTAAGACTTCTGCTTAGGAGCCAGGCATAGTGATACATGGCAGAGGTGGGCAGATCTTTGTGAGTTCAAGGCCAACCAGATATACATAGTGAATTCCAGGAGAGCCAGGGCTACATAGTGAGACCCTGTCTCCAAAAGAAAAAAGAAGAAGAAAAGACAAAAAAAAAAAAAGACTTCTGCTTAGGAGTATTTGTATCTTAAGTTGGTTTTCTGAAAGAGTGAATCAGAATCCTTTCATTTTAATGTAGACACTCACTGGGTTAAGGAAGACATGTACTTTTTTTTCTAGTTTTATTCCTTTTGTTATGTATAAGAATAAATATAATGCAGTTAACTCTACACTGATTTTCATATAGAATATTTGTGGAGCTATAGGCTCAGGAGTTGATGTTTTCATTTGTTTGGATTACTGGGTTCTAGAACTAACACTGCCTTACAAGAAGGGGGCTGAGGTGTTGGTGATGAACTGGGCAGAACTCAGTGGTTATTTCCCTGGGTTCAAATCCTATCACCAACCAAAAAAGATACTGGGAGAAGGTGAAATCATAGCAGTCATTAAAGTGAAGAGTAGCTCCAGTTTCGCCCTCAGCCACATTTGTCCCAAAGAGCAGCATCACCCAGTTGAGCAGTGGTGATAGGACGTGTCAGAGTTCTAACTCCTTTCCTGTTTTTATAATTCATGGTGTTAGATTTCCCTATTGGCACATAATTATAAATATAACTCACTTGTAAAAATTTGCATGTTTCCTTTGAATTCCATTTATAGGTTTGTTTCTTGGCCATGGCTGCCTCTGGTGAATCTTTGTATCAAGAATAAAAGAGCTTGTCCCTTTAGCTATTCTCTTACGGCATGTTGGGATGTTATGAACCATCATCATAACTTGGGATGAAATGTAAAATATATAAGTTAGTCTTCTGGGCTAAAAGGGGCAAAAGATGGTTATTCTGTGACCTTTCTCAAGTACCTAAACTGACATGCTTTCTGTAAGTATCACCATAATTATGCTGATTTTCTTTATGTTGACAAATAGTTTCTCTTACTGATGTAGCTTCACATCATTTTCTGCTAATGTGTCTTTTACATCTTCTCCCTTCTCATCCCTGTTCTCCTTCAGTCTGCTAGGTCAAAGTATAAGGACATTCAATACAGAGGTAGTCATGAAATTCTAGTTTAAAAGCTTCCAAGGAGAACGTTTATACGGCTATATTCTGATAACATGACAAAGAACTGTCTAGTGAATGCATCCATGTATCACAGAGCCAATACTTCTGCCTTGCCATAGACTGCTAAAAATGGAAGTGTACAATAATGCCTCCAGTGCTTCTGTGTTTAGAAAAACCTTTGCCATGGGCAGAAGGGATCTCACCTCTAATGTACAATCCAGCATTATTTTATGATGATATGCCTGTGAATATATGTTTTTAAAAACTAGTATTTCTTGCTTAGCAGTACAGTGTCTAACTTAACATGGCAAGTCCTGAAAAACATGCACAAGGTCCTAAAGAACACATGCACTACAGTGGTTTTTATTTTTTGCTAATAATTATACTTAACATAGTAAAATTAAGTAGTGACAGGAACCTCTAAGTTTTCTATGGAGTCAATATCCATCCTAAGTTTACATTTGAAAAGTCAAACTAGTGAAAAGTTAGATGGCTTATTTTTCCGCCCCGGTACGACCCATTTTTTCTGAAAAGTTTTCTACTTCTATGTAGTATGTACTCTACTTTATTGAGTGTACTGTAAGCCACACCTCTGCAGATAGGTGAGCAAAACCAGATATGCTTCCTGACCCGTAGTCTTAGAGTCTGGTGAGTGATGAAGGCACTAAGCAATAAGCACAGAAATGCAAATTACAGCCACAACGAAAGAATTGTGTGTGTGCCACTCGAGTCGTATGTTGGGAGGACCTGTTGTGAAAGTAGCACTTACAGTAAGACCTAAGGATGTGAAATCAAAGCATGGGGTGGAGGATAAATGCAGAGAGGACTACAGGAAGAAACATGGGATGGCTCTTAATGGTCCAGGCATTGAAGGCGGGCCGGTCTGCCTGGAATGCCATTTAGGCAGGAGTATAGTCTGTGTGTGTGCTGACTTTGGAAGTAAAATTAGCCATTTGGTTCCATATGCCAAATTCTTAGTCATGGTAGTGGTGTTTGATCCTACTGGTAATCCTTTTTAGATTACATTTTCATTTATAAGTTTCTGTTCAACAAAAGTTTAATCCTCTGTGTTAATATTCCTTCCCTTACTTTGGAGCAGACTGAAAGGGAATTAGACATCATGATACAGTTTCCTGTTCATTTGCAGTTATTTTTGTTTGCTTTTCATTTGTACTTCATTTATGTTCTTAAATGTTATTGATGTAATTTTTTTTACCTATTTTCATAATCTCTTTTATTGTTTTGAGTTGAAATTCTGAGTATCCATTCCTTCATTCTTGTCTCTTTGTAATGTAAACAGGAAATGTAGCAAACAGTCCTGTGCATCAAGTTTAGTTATGTTTAGTGTACTGGTGTAATATTTACTCTTTGTCTTTTGTTTTATGTACAAAGATCAGCATATACCAAGTGAGAAGACAGGAGTAACAGTAGGAACTAGATTCCACTTTCTTTTCAATCATTAGAACAAGTGCTTTAAAAAAAATGAACAGAGGCAGGTGAGATGGTTCAGTGGGTAGAGGCACTTACCACCAAGCCTGACTGCCTGACTTTGATCCATGAAACCCACATGGTGGAAAGAGAGAAGAGACTCTTCACAGTTGTTGTCTATCCTCCACACTCCATGGGAATGTCATCCCCTCACCTGCAACACACACACACACACATACACACACACACATACACACATACACACACACACACACACACACACACACACACACACACACACAGTCTAGTGAGAGCACATAAAATAAAAATTTTTAAAAAAATCACAAAATAATGGACCTTTTAAAAGCACAAACATGATAGAACATGTCTAGTTTGTTAGAAATATACCAAGTGTTGGCCAGGTCTGGTAGCTCAAGATTATTATCTCAGTTATTTGGAAGGCTAAGGCAGAAGGATAGAGAGTTTTAATGCTTGCCTAGGCTGCAAAATGAGTTCAAAGCCAGCCTGAGTAATTTAGTCTCAAAGAAGCGCAGGCTATAGTTGAGTGCTGAGGACTTATATAGTAAGTATGAGACTCTGAGTTTCTCCCTCAGGACCACAAAAAAAAGAAAGGGCCGGGCTGTGGTGGCGCACGCCTTTAATCCCAGCACTCGGGAGGCAGAGCCAGGCGGATCTCTGTGAGTTCGAGGCCAGCCTGGGCTACCAAGTGAGTTCCAGGAAAGGCGCAAAGCTACACAGAGAAACCCTGTCTCGAAAAACCAAAAAAAAAAAAAAAAAAAAAAAAGAAAGGAAGAGAGAGAGAGAGAGAGAGAGAGAGAGAGAGAGAGAGAGAATAGAAGAGGAGGAGACTTGTAACTTCCCTTTTACTTATGATTTTGGTTTGAGGAGCAGAGGCCAACTCCATAGGGGCTGGCTGTGTCCTCTCCCTTAGCATTTATCTTGATGCCCATTCTCCTGCAAGCTCATTACTCAGCAATGTCTGGCTACATAGCTTCTCTGCCTGCATGTCTACTTCTCTTGACTCTGAAATAGTCCTTTTAAATAAAGACTTACAATGCTGTGATGTAAAATTCACTTTAGAACTAGTAACTGTATTTCAGTCACATTTCCCTGCCTTTTTTTAATCTCTTGGTTTCTGTTTTGTGTATGGTGAGAAACCAAATCTCTTGGTACATCCTTACCCCTGAAGGTTAAGATCTTCAGTACGCTCCACTCCTCTGCAGAAATCACAGGACTTGAACATCTACTTCCAATTGTTACTCTTGTACCTATGGTATAATTTTTTAAAAGAGAACAATTTGGTGTAAGTTGGTCTTCACACTTGCTAATGTACTGATTTCGTGAAAAAGCAACTGGAGGCAATTTAAGAGGTCGTAATTTAGAGGCCATCTTCAAAGGCCCAGAAGCCAGCTTCAGTTTGGGGAAATATTCTCAATTGGTGGAAAGCCCCAACCTTTCCTTCCTCAGATGTTCTGATGTTTGTCTCTGGGTTTCTGTCTACAGGGCATTTGTGTACTTGAGCAACCTGCTGTATCCTGTGCCCCTGATTCACAGGGTGGCCGTCGTCAGTGAGAAGGGGGAAGTGCGGGGATTCCTGCGTGTGGCTGTGCAGGCCATTGCAGGTGAGTGACCTCTTTCTAAATGAGAGCTGTGGATTCTTTCCTATAGAAAAAGCAGGACAGGGGCTGGAGAGATGCCTCAGTGGTTAAGAGCACTGGCTGTTCATCCAGAGGAGCACCCACATGACAACTCACAACTGTCTGTAATTCCATTTTCAGGGGATCTCACACCCTCACACAACTTACATTCAGGCAAAACACCAATGTACATAAGATAATTTTATTTAAAAAAGAAAGAAATCGCCGGGTGGTGGTGGCGCACGCCTTTAATCCCAGCACTCGGGAGGCAGAGCCAGGCGGATCTCTGTGAGTTCAAGGCCAGCCTGGGCTACCAAGTGAGTCCCAGGAAAGGCGCAAAGCTACACAGAGAAACCCTGTCTCGAAAAACCAAAAAAAAAAAAAAAAAAAAAAAAAAAAAAGAAAGAAATCATAGAATAGGCATGCTAGTTCCATGTGGGTGACACTTTAGTCATATACATAAATGGTAGTGTGTTTGTTCAAATGGGGAAGGTCTCCATTAGCTTCCTTTCTATTAGTTTTATCTATATCCCCACCACCTCTAGTATCATAATTAAATTTCACTTTAGTCTGGGATATTGCCTGTTTTGGGAAAAACGGTATGTAACATGAATAACTCTTAGACTGACTTTGTAAAAGTGATGGGCAGTTTAGACAAGGATGGTGGATTGTGTACTTTGAAGCCAGCCTGAGCTACATAGTAAGACATTGTTGTTTTGTTTTGTTTAAAAAAAAAAAAACAATCCAGGCATGTTCACACACACCTTTGATCCCAGCATTCAAGAGGCAAACAGATTTCTGTGAGTTCAAGGCCAGCCTGGTCTACATACAACCAGGGATACATAGTAAGACTCCTCTCTCCAAAAAAATAAAAATAAAAAGTCATAAACTCTTTTTGTTTGAGATAGTGTTTTTTTCTGTATAGCTTAGGCTGCCCATAAACTCAAATCTTCCTACCTCAGCCTCCTAAGTGTTGGGATTATAAACATACAATACACCACAGTACTTGGGTCAAGTGTTGAACATTTTACTTTTGTATTTTTAATTGTTTTTAGTTTAAGGTTTCACTGTGTGGTCTAGGTTATCCTGAACTCAAAATCCTCCTGCCTTGATCTGCTGAGTGCTGGCCTCACCACACCTAGTTGATGGTTTGAACCACTCTGTCTTACCTGTGTCAGAGTAACAAAGGATTTTAGATTGTTCTTGCCTAGTTTTCTCTCTTTTCTAGTAGACCTTTTTTTTTTTCCCTTAGCTTTTTTTAGCCTTAGCTACTGAGTGAGTTTGAGGCCAACCTGGACTCATGACTGAGACCCTGTCGCAAAACAGAAGGCATTTATTTCACTGCTAAATGTAATACGTGTAAGACTATGGCTATTTTCTGTATTTTCTATCTTAACTCCTAAGAGCTGGGCTCCATACAATGACCTGTCAGCCTTTACCCCTTAGAAAACCGTCACAAAGTCACCACACCAAGTGTGTAGAAGTCTCTTCCACGAGTTAGTATAATGTTTGTTATACTAACTTTGTATAGTATTGTATAACAATCTTTGTTGCCTATTACTGAATATAGTCTTGCCAAGATGTTTAGGAGTCAGAATTTCTAGGTGTGGTATTATAAACAAACTGAAGATCGAAACCAGTTCTTTTTAACTATTCTCATTTGAGCAGAGGAAGGTAGTTAATCTACAAAAATAATTGGAAGCAGCAGCTGTAAATTTTTTTCAGTGCCATTCATTCTTATACTAAGGTCCTTACTTTATAATGCACTAAGAGCTGTCCTCCCACACATGCACTTTCATTCAGTCTTTGCTGGCTTTCTTTCTATTTAGCGGATGAAGAAGCTCCTGATTATGGCTCTGGAATTCGACAGTCAGGAACAGCTAAAATATCTTTTGATAACGAGTACTTCAATCAGGTAAGAAGTGTTTGGGAAAGAAGGAACACCTTAGGAAAAGAAAAGGAAGTAATGGATTTATGAGGAAAATGTCCAATGCTGGCACCCAATTCCTTTGCCTAGAATGTTAGCAGTTCTAAGATGCTGGTTACCCCCACAGTTACTCAGTAAAATATGGGACATGTGTAACAGTTACAGAGATGAAAATGCATAACATACTACCTTTTCTCAGACAACTCTTAGTCCACTTACTTATTATTTTGTACAAATAATTATTTGTTGTACAAATAAAAATATTGTTGTTATACAAATAAAACTAAATCAAGAAATGGAAGAATATGTCATTTACCTAGCCTTGCCTTCCTTTCAGAGTGACTTTTCTTCAGTTGCAATGACTCGTTCTGGTCTGTCTTTGGAGGAGCTGAGGATTGTGGAGGGACAGGGCCAGAGTTCTGAAGTTATCACTCCTCCAGAAGAAGTCAATCGAATGAATGACTTGGGTGCGTAGGCAGACACTGTTACTGAGGAGATTCTCAAGGGGAAAACATTGACTACCACAGTCAAGCAACCTAATTGCTTGGTGAACTAGAAACAGAAAGAATGCCCAGTGCCCTCCTCTTCATGTTACTTGAGCCCTCTGTGTCATTTAACTCTTTAGATCTGAAGTCGGGCACGTTGCTGGATGGGAAGATGGTGATGGAGGGATTTTCTGAAGAGATTGGCAACCACCTGAAACTGGGCAGCGCCTTCACTTTCCGAGTCACCGTGCTCCAGGCCAGTGGGATCCTTCCAGAGTATGCAGACATCTTTTGTCAGTTCAAGTAAGGCACCTGTATTTGTTACTCTTCTGTTGCTGTAATAGAACATCCTGACAAAAAGCAGCTTAGAGAAGAAAAAGGTTTAACTTAGACTACAGTTTCAGAGGGATGGAGTTCATCATGGCAGAGAAAAAGGCATGGCAACATGAGCAAGAAGCTGACCCATCACGTTTTCCTTCACACAGGGGTTGCAGAGAGAAAGAGCAGGACTTGGGGCGGGGCTGTAAACCCTCAACATCTGCCCACAATGATGTACTTCCTCAACAAGACTCTTCCTCAAGGCCCCATAACCTCCCAAACAGATAGCAACTGGGGACCAAGTGTTAAAGGACTTGAACCTGTGGGGGCATTTCTCATTCGAAGAAGCCACACTGCCCCTTTGTTGTGCCCATCTAGCAAGATGTTACCTGCAGAGAATCCTTCTTGCTGTAGAGTGTTTTACATATGTGAATGATTAAGGCTGTGGAGAGAGAAAAGATGTGACAAGTCTCTGAAAGAACACTTTCTTCACTCAGGATGAGAATAAGAATCAAAACCCTATCCTGGAATGACTCAGGGTTCCCCATGGAGTGTGCAGCATGTACTGCTAGAGGACTCTGTGATGTCCCCTTACCCCAGGAACATAGTATCTGATCCCAGTGAACCTGTAGCTTTTAGTGCTTTTCACGACAAAATGTCTCCTTAAGAAACAAGAGTTAAACAAATTGTCTAGCCAACAGTTTCATATACTTAATACTTTAGAAAAAGGAAATTTACATAATGTAAAGAAAAACACCCATTATATGAAGTGAGAAAAGGTGTGTGGAGAAGATGTATGTAGGGATACCTTGGAGCACTAAAGAGCAAGGTTGTCAGTGTCACTGAGATGGTGGGTCAGACCCACTAGTGCTCATGGGTGCCTTGGGCAGGTATAGTGTATGGCCAGGAGAAGGAAAACTGGAGTGGGGGTGGTGGAACAGAAGAGGAGGAAAGGGACAGGCATAATGAAAAGAAGAAAACAGAGATACTCCCTAAGGGACTGGAGAAATGGCTCAGCAATTAAGAGCACTAGCTCTTAACTGGACCCAGGAAAGGACCTGGGTCCAATTCCCAGGCACTTAGGTAGGGGTGCATGGTTGTAACTCTAGTTCCAAGGACTCTGATGCCCTCTCCAGGCCTCTACGGGCACAAACGTACATAAATGCGGAACACCAATGCACACACATACACATGAAATAAAACGAAAATTTTTAAATGCGTGTATTTTTCAAGACTTCAAAAGATATACATAATCACAGGAGGCTGCAGTGTCAGCAGTATGGATCATTAGTAATTTGGAGCATTGGCAGAGGTACTGCCATCCTCAGACATGGTAGACTATTGTGAAAATCAAGACAGATTTTCTACAGAGATTTTCCCCGCTATTCAAAATCCCCCCTCCCACACACACACACTTTGGGGACTGGAGAGATGGCTCAGTGGTGAAAAGTACTGTTGTTCTTACAGAGGACCCAAGTTCAGATGTGAACACCCACAAAGTGCTTAACAGCCATCTTTAACTCCAGTTTCAGGGAGTCTGACCACCTCTTCTGACCTCCACAGGCACCAGGCACACATGTGGTACATATGCATACATGCAAGCAAAACACACATACACTTAAATCTAAAAAAAAATTCTTAGCTGGGCGGAGGTGGCGCATGCCTTTAATCCCTTGGGAGGCAGAAGCAGGCAGATTTCTGTGAGTTCGAGGCCAGCCTGGTCTACAGAATGAGTTCCAGGACAATCAGGGCTACACAGAGAAACCCTATCATGAAAAACAAAAAAGCAAAAATTTTTAAATATATTCTTTTCCCCATTTGACATTTTAGAGTATAATCTGTGTGTTGAGCCACCTGTTGGAGAAACAGGCACATAAGTACATCATTGTAAACAGTGAACTCTTGGCTTTTGAGGAGCAGTAGGTCCTACTGCTATGGGAACACAAAACCATCAGGTGTGTGTCAGAGGAGACTTCCTGGAACAGATGACTTTTGAGCATCTCTTGTCTGTCGGGAGACTCCTAGGTCAGTCTCCCACATGCGGTTTTACTGTTTTTTGCAGAGGCTCAAATTTGCCAAGTTTTCTCTATGTAATATGATTTCATTTTCAGTAAAACAAATGAAAAACTTCTACAAAAGAACAAGACTTTACATTTTGTTGATTGGTTTGATTGATTTTGGGGGGGTTGGGGTAGATTTGCTTGGTAGATCAGATTTGTTCTTTTGTTTTATTGGGTGTGAGGAAGTAGGTTCAGATTTTTAGGGATGGGTGGGTGCTAGGTTTTTTGTTTTGGGGGCTTTGGGTAGGTTTTTTTGTTTTGGGTTTTGTGAGGTAGGTTTGTTTGGGAGGATTGGGGGTAAGTTTATTCATTTGACTTTGGGGAGGTTGGTTTGTTCATTTGTATTTTGGGTTTTGGGGAGTAGTTTGTTCATTTGTTTTGGATTTTGGAGGTAGGTTTATTCATTTGGGTTTGGGGGGTAGTTTTTTATTGTTTTATGGGTTTTGTTTGTTTGGTTTTTTGGTTTGCAAAGGTAGGTTTTTGGTTTTGGTTTTGGGGTTTTTTTGTTTGTTTGTTTTTTTCGAGACAGGGTTTCTCTGTGTAGTTTTAGAGCCTGTCCTGGATCTCGCCCTATAGACCAGAATGGCCTCAAACTCAATAGATCCACCTGTCTCTGTCTCCCGAGTGCTGAGATTAAAGGTGTATGCCACCACTGCCTGGGTAGGTTTTTTTGTTTGTTTTTTGGGATTGGGGGAAGGATAGGTTTGCTTGCTTTAAGACAAGGATTCTCTGTGTGTCCCTGGCTGGCCTGGAACTGCTATGTAGACCCTTCTGGCCTTGAACTCTGCAATTCTTCCAACTCTCCTTCCTGAGCGCTCAGATTACAGTCATGCACTACCACATCCTGCTCCAAATTTGTTGAGTTGATTTCTTTACTCTCTGTAAGCTATGCTTGTATATATGTCCATTTGTCTAAATAATCAGGGTCACTTAATTTTTCAGCCATAATCCAAAATGCTGTCTATATGATATGGGAAATGCTGACATGGAAAGAAATAATCACCATTCAATGCAGTAAAAACAAAAAAAGGTGTTTTGTTAGTATGCTTCTAACTGTAGAGTCCAAAGTGGGCTCTTAAAACAGATTCTGCTAGTCATAGTAACACACACCTTGTATCCTAGCACCTGGAGGCAGAAGCAGACAAATCGCTGTGAATTTGTGGCCAGCTTGGGCTTCATAGTGAGACTCTGTCTCAAAACAAAACCAAACCAGATCTGATGAATTCTGATGCAGTATTCATCTGTCTCTTCTTATTAAGCTTTTTGCATCGTCATGATGAAGCATTCTCCACTGAACCCCTCAAAAACAATGGAAGAGGAAGTCCCCTGGGCTTTTATCATGTACAGAATGTGAGTAACCTGAATGTTTTGCCACACCCCTCAGGTTTATGTACCCTGACTTTATTGGCTAAGGAAGAATGATCATGTGAGGTGTGGGCTGCCTGTTGTGTTTAGATGAGGGAACTTTGCAGAGAGAATGAACAGTAGAGATGGTGGCCAGGGCAGTGAGACAGTCTTCAGGGGAGGAGCAGCTAATCTCTTAATGAATTACAGGGACCCAGTAAGTGTGTGCAGTCTAGTCTCCCAATGAAATCTTCCATCTGTTTGAATATGAGTTTTTAAAAAATATTTCTACCCTAGAAAAAACAAGCATGTTTAATATCAGTTTTGATAAGTTAACATAGTACCCTGTAAACTCTAGGATACTTACATTGTTGCTTACAAGTAATGTTGAAGATATTATATACCTTCTGTAACTAAGTTAAGATTTAGAGTGTTTCCCTGGTAGCTGTGATTTATCTATTGATGTCCCATACAACTGTCTTCATACATGCAGCAAGGAAGTAGGCTTCCCAATTTGTGTATTTTATTCAAACTCCATTCAAAAGTCATCTTGAGGGGAGTGGTGAGATGGCTCAGCGGATATAAGCACTTACTGACCAGCTTGATGGCTGGAGTCCATCCCCAGGACCCACATGGTGGGGGGAGAGCACTGGCTCCCACAGTTGTCTTCTGACTCCTGCATGCATGCCATAACACAAGCACCATGCACACACAGATAAGTTAATGAAGCATAAAAGCAGTCATCTTCATCATAACACTGATGTTCATTAAGAATTCAGTTTGTATCAGCCCAGTCCTGCTTTCTGCACCATTGAGCCCTCACTTCTACACCATGACTGTCACAACCCTGTCCTGTAGCTGAAGGAGCTGAGGCACTAAGCAGCTCCTGCTACTCACCAGCTTACATAGCTGGGAAGAGGCAGAGATGGAATTTAAACACAAAGAAGCCTGGCTGTAACATCCAGAATCTTCACTGCCTTCATGAAACTACCTTTCTTTTTCTTGTTAATCACGTCTACTCTATAAAGTGAGAGAGGGGCCTGGGTTGTGGTTGTAGCCCAGCTGGTAGAGTGCTTACTCACATATACAAGGTCCTGGATTGGAACTCTAGCACAAACAAAAAAATTTTAAATATATGAAGTGAGAGAGGAAAAGACAAAGAGAAAAAAATAAAAATAAAGCATGAAATATGGGCTGGAGAGGTGGCTCAGAGGTTGAATGTGTACCGTTCTTGTAGAAGACTTGAGTTAGGTTCCCAGCCCACAAAAGCATATGACTCCAGCTCCAAGGGATCCAAAGCCCACTTCTGGCCTCTGAGGGCACTTGTTCACATATTCAACATGCACATATTCCAAACACAGACATAGATATACATACATATCTATAACTAAAAAGAAAGTATGTGTTTGATAAATGCTGATCGGCTGTTTAACAAACCACTGACTCATGAAACCACAGATGTCCCCAAGGAGCTTAGAATTAAGAGGAAATATAGTCAGAGTATGGGGACATGAAAATGGGATTCATTAAATTCAAACGGGAATGTTTTCCATATGGGATGACTTTAAGTTACTTTTTGGGTACGGGAGAATAGCTATGAAGAGAGAAGGTAGGTTTTCTGAAAGAAGTAGCTAGCATAAACAAGAGGTGGGAAAAGAAGAAAAGGTGTGTCAAACTTGGCGTTGTACCTTGCTCTTAGTCCATAGTCAACACAGGGTTTTCTTATCTCTTCTACTACTTCACCTGGGCTTTGGAGGGAAGGCCTTCCCAGCAGAGTTGTGACCTGGGCCTCTTCTGAGGTACAACAGGGAAAAGGCGGGTGGAGAGGGCACCAGGCAAGTCTTGAAGTAATGAGTAGCAGCAGAGGGAGGTCAGTCCTGCGCCACTGTGGAGGGTCTAGAATGCTGACACTTGGTACAGTCACATTAAGAAGAAAATCAGAGGGAAACCTGACTTGTGGTGTAGGTGGCCCGTGTAGTGAAGCACCCAGCATGTACAGGATGCTTAACAATGCTGAAGGGCTGCTGCAAGAAAAAACGTGTGCTTTCTTGTCCTAATCCTACCCCAGCCTCATGTGACTTTCTTGTTACTAGATTGCAGTGGAGGTCACTGAGTCATTTGTGGACTACATCAGAACTAAGCCCATCGTATTTGAGGTCTTTGGACATTACCAGCAGCACCCACTCCATCTGCAAGGACAAGATCTTAACAGGTTTGAGTCAGATGAGCCAAGACTGGGATTGGTGTTGCTCTTTTGGTTTTTAGTTCCTCAGTTCCTGGAAGAGAAATCTTTTCAGGGATGCAGATAACTGAATAATAGATTCATACATTACCCTGTTTTTACTCTTGAGATGTCATTAGCTAACCTAATCACTAACTTGAGATACAGCAAGTTGAATTTTATCCAGATGACTTTGAATGCCTTCTTTTTGTTGTAAGAAGTTTTTTTGTTTGTTTGTTTTTTGGTTTTTTTTTTGGCTTTTTTGAGACTCAGTTTCTCTGTATAGCCCTGGCTGCCCTGGAACACTTTGTAGACCAGACTGGCCTCAGACTCACAGAGCCTGTCTCTGCCTCCTGAGTGCTGGGATTAAAGGCATTCACAACCACCACCCATCAGAAGAAAAATCTCTGTGTGTGTGGGGGGGGCGGGCGGGGAGTTTCAAGACAGGGTTTCTCTGTGTAGTTTGGTGCCTGTCCTGGATCTTGCACTGTAGACCAGGCTAGCCTCGAACTCACAGAGATCCACCTGACTCTGCCTCCCTAGTACTGGGATTAAAGGCGTGCGCCACCATTGCCCATCAGAAGAAATTCTTAATAGGGTAGAAAGTTGGTGCAGTAGAGCTAGAACATGCATGTAGTTATTTCTGACACCTTTACTTTATGAAATGGAGACTCAGAGGGGAATCATCACAACCAATGAGGAAACACACTGCCCTAGCATGTTTCTGTTTTCTTAAAAAGATTTAAGCATTAAAAAAAAAAAAAAAGCCAGATGGTGATGGTGCTTGCCTTTAATCCCAGCCCTAGAGAGGCAGAGGCAAGAGAATCTATGTGAGTTCGAGGTCATCCTGGTTTACAGAGCTAGTTCCAGGACAGCCAGGGCTACACAGAGAAACCCTGTCTCAAAAAAAAAAAAAAGATTTAAGCATGTCACCAATGTCAACACTTAAGTACATTAGTCCTAATGAATGTTTTCCTTCTCTCTTTGCAGTCCACCTCAGCCTTCTCGGAGATTCTTCCCACCACCCATGCCACTCTCCAAACCAGGTGAGCAGCAGCTGAACTCTGTCTAATGTACGTGTATCTGCTCTGAATGGTTTCCAGACAAGAATCACACTGCAGTTCCTTCTCTGTGTCCTTAGGTGTTCCTGTTCCTCTTGTATATTTCTAACAGGAACACGAATGCTTGGTTCCTGATCTGAGATGGGAAGTCAGAAACAATTGGTCTCTGTCTCTCTGACCTTTTCATTCAGACTTGATAACCTCCTCCTCCTTCTTAAATCTCTGTGCTTTGGCCGGGCGGTGGTGGCGCACGCCTTTAATCCCAGCACTCGGGAGGCAGAGGCAGGCGGATCTCTGTGAGTTCGAGGCCAGCCTGGACTACCAAGTGAGTCCCAGGAAAGGCGCAAAGCTACACAGAGAAACCCTGTCTCGAAAAAACCAAAAAAAAAAAAAAAAAAAAAAAAAAAAAAAACCAACAAAAAAAAAAATCTCTGTGCTTTGTATGTAATTAGTTCTGTTGGTCACTGAACATTTCTCTGTATATTAAATTTATTCTGCGGGCTGGAGAGATGGCTCAGAGGTTAAGAGCACTGGCTGCTCTACTAGAGGTCCTGAGTTCAATTCCCAGCAACCACATGGTGGCTCACAACCATCTATAATGAGATCTGGTGCCCTCTTCTGGCATGCAGGCAGAACACTGTATACATAATAAATATATATATATATATATGTGTGTGTGTGTGTGTGTGTGTGTGTGTGTGTGTGTGTGTGTGTGTGTGTATATATATAAATTTATTCTGCCTGTTAAGTTTTGCTGTTGGAACTTTTGTTTTTGATTAACACATCATTATGCATATTTATAACATGATGCATTTTATAACTATGTACTTTGAAGAACACATGTATATATCAGTACAATTAGTATATCCATATCATAAGCATTTCTCATTTGTTTGTAGTAGGTATATTCAAAATTCTTTCTTGTAGCATTTTAACATTGATAATAGTAGATATCCTGTTATTCAGTAGAACACTAGAATTTGTTTCTCTTCATTTGTCTTGTTTTCACTTTTCTTTATTTTTGTTCTTTTTCCTTTCCACCCACTTATCAAATTCCCACCCTCCCCGTCTCATTCTCCTCCCTCTATTCCACACCCCATTGGCCTTCAGACCATGAAAGAAAGATTGAACTGATACGCTTTCTCATGTCTGGCTATGTGACTATGCATATGTTGGACAGGGTTTCTGAGCACGCCACTTTGCTGCTTTCCTCTGCTGTGGCCACCTTCCACAGTGAGGCTGACTCATGGCCACCTCTTCTCTCTCTGCCAGTTCCCAGCCTCCAGAATGAAAGGGTACCCAAGCGATATGGTTAGTAGCTAAACTAGCTCTGCCTTAGATGTAGAACCAACTTAGGCATTTTTCCTAAATCCTGATTCGCCATATGAGAAACACCAATATTTCTGTTTGTTTCCCTACTTTACTGTAGAGTTCTGTGTGTTGTCAAGATCACATCACAGTTCCTGCAGGGAGACTATAGGGAGCGGTTTTTTTTTTTTTGTTTTTTTTTTGTTTTTTTTGTTTTGGGTTTTGGGTTTTTTTGGGGGCGGGGGAAACGACACCTTTATACCTCCATCTCTTTTGAGAATGAGGTGCATTGATTTTTTTTTTCTTTCTTCTTTTTTTTCTTTTTTTTTTTTTTTTCTTCCCCGGGACAAGGTCTCTAACCCAGACTGACCTTGAACTAGCTGTATAGCTGAGAATGATCTTGAACTCTGGCCCTCCTGTCTCATCTTCAGAGTGCCTGTACATGTATGGGCCATCATACCCAGTTTATGGGGTGCTAGAGATTGAACTCCAAGCTTCATCTATACTAGGCAAGCGTTCTCCCTGCTCAGCTACGTCTCCACCCTCCTGATACTTCTTTGTTTATATTTTTGCAAAGTATTTTTCATTTTGATTTTTACACTAGTAGTTGGTTTTTGTTTGTTTGTAGTGTTAGGATCAAACCCTGGGCCTTGTGCCTGTTAAGACAAGCATTTTACCACCGAATTACTTTCAAGCCCCCACCCCTCTCCTCTCCTCTCTGCCCCTCTCCTCCCCTCCTCTCCCCTTCCCTTTTCCCTCCCCTCTCTCCCCCCTTCCCTCTTCCCTCCCCTCTCTCCCCCCTTCCCTCCCCTCCCCTCCCCACCCCTCTCTCCTCTGTCCTCTTCTCCCCTCCCTTCTCTTCCTCTCCCTTCCCCTCTCTCCTCCTCTTCCCCTCCCCTCCCCACCTGTCTCTGCTCTCTCCTCTCCTCCCCTCTTCTCTTCTCTCTCCTCTCTCTCCTCCCCTCTCTCCTCCCCTCTCTCCTCTCCCTTCCCCTCTCTCCTCCTCTTCCCCTCTCTCCTCCCCTCTCTCCTCTCTTCTCCTCCTCCTCTCTCTCCTCCCCTCTCTCCTCTCTCTTCTCCTCTCTCCTCCTCCTCTCTCTTCTCCTCTCTCTCCTCCTCCCCTCTCTCCTCCTCTCTCTCCTCTCTCTTCTCCTCCTCCTCTCTCTCCTCCCCTCTCTCTCCTCCCCTCTCTCCTCTCCCTTCCCCTCTCTCCTCCTCTTCCCCTCTCTCCTCCCCTCTCTCCTCTCTTCTCCTCCTCCTCTCTCTCCTCCCCTCTCTCCTCTCTCTCCTCCCCTCTCTCCTCCTCCTCTCTCTCCTCCCCTCTCTCCTCCCCTCTCTCCTCCCCTCTCTCCTCCTCTCTCTCCTCCCCTCTCTCCTCCCCTCTCTCCTCCCCTCTCTCCTCTCTCTCCTCCTCTCTCTCCTCCCCTCTCTCCTCCCCTCTCTCCTCCTCTCTCTCCTCCCCTCTCTCCTCCCCTCTCTCCTCTCTCTCTCTCCTCCTCTCTCTCCTCCTCTCTCTCCTCCCCTCTCTCCTCCCCTCTCTCCTCCTCTCTCTCCTCCCCTCTCTCCTCCCCTCTCTCCTCTCTCTCCTCCTCTCTCTCTCCTCCTCTCTCTCCTCCCCTCTCTCCTCCCCTCTCTCCTCCTCTCTCTCCTCCCCTCTCTCCTCCTCTCTCTCCTCCCCTCTCTCCTCCTCTCTCTCCTCCCCTCTCTCCTCCCCTCTCTCCTCTCTCTCCTCCTCCCCTCTCTCCTCCCCTCTCTCCTCCTCTCTCTCCTCCCCTCTCTCCTCCCCTCTCTCCCCTCTCTCTCCTCTCTCTCCTCCTCTCTCTCCTCCTCTCTCCTCTCCTCTCCTCTCCTCCCCTCCCCTCCTCTCTGCTCCTTCCCTTCCCTCTCCTCTTCTCTTTAGTGTTTGCTTACTTAGATGACTACCAAAACAGTAACCAGTTTTCTTTTGTCTTCTTTTTTTTTTTTTGTCTTTTCAAGACAGAGTTTCTTTGTGTGGTCTTGGCTGTCCTGGAACTCACTCTGTAGACCAGGCTGGCCTCGAACTCAGAGATTCACCTGTCTCTGCCTCCCAAGTGCTGGGATTAAAGACATGTGCTGCCGCCACCACCACCACCCGGCTCCTGGTTTCCTTATTAGCAGCTGTAGCACATGTGAAACACAGCTGGGTGACTATGGCTGATGGGCTGTTCATTGGAGAAATGCTCCATGGTTGATAAAGCCCCTTCATATACATTATGCCAATAGGTCTTCAAAAATATTTTTTCTAAGTAGCAGACTAAATATTATGATACACATTTATAAATTGAGAAGAGACTCACAGAGAGTAAGAAGCTCCACCAAAGCCACATGCATTAGTACTGTTAAGACTGGAACATACATCTGAAGAAAATGTGTACAGATGATTATGTACAGATTCCTGTGTTTACAAGTCAAACCAGTGGTTCTCAGATCCTTCCACATGTTAGAATCATCTGGAGAGTTTCAAGCCTTGGAAGGCAGAACTGCATCCCACCCACAGATAGTATGATTTGATTATCTGGGGTGTGACAACCCTTGTGACATGCCAGGTTCTCCTCTGGTGCTTCCCAAGCATTGTCTCCTCAGTACAGTTGTGATGTGGCACCATGCTCCCAGATAGGAAACTCTCGAAAGCTAAGGTTTTGAATGATTTGTAAAGCACATTTACTTTATATAAAAACCTGTTTTCTTGGTTGCAGAACAGTGTCTTGAGAAGGAGGGCCTTAGTGCTTGCTTTCCTTATGCTCTGGATTAGAGGCATTGATACACTTAGTGGTTAATGTTCTGTGGAACTTTCACATTGAAGTCTGTGCTCTTAAAGACTGATATTAAAGATGTGTATACTGGGGCTGGAGAGATGGCTCAGCGGTTAAGAGCACTGCTGCTCTTCAAGAGGACCCAAGTTCAATTCCCAGCACCCACATGGCAGCTCACAACTGTCTGTCACATGGCAGTTCATAACTGGTCTGTAACTCCTGTTGCAGGGGACCCAGTGCCTTCATACAGACATATATGCAGGCAAAACACCAATATACATAAAATAAAAATAATTTTTTTAAAAAAGATGCCTATGCTTTTGCTGAGTGAACTTGGAGCAGATTTTGACATGTTATAAAAAACTTTTTTTAAAGTTCCAGCCACCAAGTTAAACACCATGAACAAAACCAGCCTTGGGCAGAGCATGAGCAAGTATGACCTTCTGGTTTGGTTTGAGATCAGTGAACTGGAGCCTACAGGAGAGTAAGTCCTATTTTTCAAATACTGTTTCAGAATTAAGAGAGAGAGTTTTGAGCAGGTTTATCATGCAATTATCTTGTCGAATTCATCTTTTGGATTGAATTTGGGTGCCTTGCTATTTCTCTCTGAATGAGATGTTTGCCAGAGGCCATCCAGGGGAATTGTTGGCACTTTTGTTAGCAACAGCAATATGATGGCGACCAAATGCACTTGGCTATGAGGGAAGACATGGTTCTATGAAGTTCAGTGGAACAGATTATACAGGTATGCTTCAGGTTCAGATGGAGATGACTGGGGACTAGTGAGATGGCTCAGCAGGTATGGGCACTTGCTGCCAAGCCTGACATTCTGAGTTTGATCCCTGGAACATACATGGCAGAAGGTGAGAACCAGTTACTGTGAGTTATCCTTCTATCTCTACACATGTACCATGGTCAGTCATAACACACACACACACACACACACACACACACACATACACACACACACACACACACACACACACACACACACACACACGTGTGAATAAATAAATAAATGTAATGTAAAATTAGAGTGCTAATCTCAGTGAGGGCAGTAGGAGCCTTTGGATATTTCCCTGGATTAAAATTTTCAACCTTAGCCATGTGTGATGGCACATGCCTTTAATCAGATCTCTGTGAGTTCAAGGCCAGCCTGGTCTACATAGTGAGGTCCAGGATAGCCAAGGCTACATGGGGAGGCTCTGTCTGGAAAAACCAAAACAGAAAAAATTCAATCTTGCCCCTGTATGAGACCACTTTATCTTCCACTGTGGCATTGTAGGATATTTCACAGTACCTTGACCTGTACCTGAGAGGCTAGTAGCACCTCTGTCCAGCTGTGCTGACCAAAGATATTCCCTAGAAAAGAGCCACTCTCCTAAATGAACAGGAACATAAGCTTCCTTGTCTTTATGAGCTGTGTTAGAGTAAATAATCAATACAATTAGTGTTTATAGTTGTTTCTAAAATGACTTGGGAAGAACATAAAGAGAGCCTACTCCTGAAAGAGGCAAGTAGCTGCACCCATTAACACAGATTTGGGAGCAACTGTTATGTAGTGTTTCTCTGTGTGTAATTAGCAGCAAACCACCATCAGCAATGATCAGCACCATGAACCATTAATAAATGTCTGCTGTGCATATGGCCCTGTGTTAAATATAGCTCTGTAACTGATGAATGTGACTTTCCATAAACAGATCTGTAATGTCATAGCTTGCACTATGAAGACATAGTCACAGTGATGGTTTCTACTGAATTAATTGCTTTCTGGAGCTTAAAATATTTAGAATTGGAAATTATCTACTTATTTCCACTCAGTTCTATAATAGTTATGCATTATTTACTGAATTGTTATGCAAGGGACAGAGATGGAACCAAAAAAAACCACTGTTCTTTTAGCACTGCAGTCAGGCAGAGATGGTGAGAAACAGATTCATGAAAAGGGTGACAGATGCAAGTGGTTCTGTGATTAAGTGCCTGCACGGGGTCAGAGTGTAGAAAACACAGCCCAGGGCTGCAGCACCTGGGACGACTTGGCAGATGAAGTAGCCTTGACTTCTGTCTTTTGTGTTTTTACTCTTACAGGTATATTCCAGCCGTGGTTGACCACACAGCAGGCTTACCTTGCCAGGGGACATTTTTGCTGCACCAGGTACTGAAGTCTGAGAGAGAACAACAAATTTCTCAACTTTTCATCTCTATTTGGAGGGAGTAAAGTGGGAGAACATTTTTGCTTTATCCTGTCCCTTGTTTTTAGCAGGGTAGGAAATGGCTGGGATTTGAATACAAAACTTTAAATACTATTTCTATTTGTATTAGGGTTCTGTAGAGTAACAACTGATAAAGTTTATATAAAGGGGATTTTTTTTAGAATGACTTACAGACTGTAGTCTAGCTAGTCCAATAATGGCAGCCTGTGAACAGAAAGTCCAAGAATCCAGTAGTTGTTCAATCCACAAGGCTGGATGTCTCAGCTGCTCTTCAATATATGCTGGAATTCCAAAGAAGTAGGTTCAAATGTCAGTGAAGGAATGGACTTGCTAGCGAGGCGAGGGCAAGCAGACAAAGAGCAGGGTTTCCTTCTTCCATTTCCTTATAGAGGTTTCCTGCAGAGTGTTTGGTCCAGATTAGATGTGGTCTTCCTACCTCAAAAGATCTGGATTAAAGGTGTATGTTCCCATCTCAAAGATCCAGATTAGAAGTGGATCATCCCACTTCAAATTCTTAATTAAGCCAAAATCCCTCATAGGTGTGCCCAGCCATTTTGGGTTTTAGTTACTTCAGACATAGTCAGGTTGACAGCCAAAGTAGCCATCACACCATTTTTGGTTTTTATTTTTGAATATACTCTTTGTATGTATAAAAATATTCTAGAATAGTTATTTTTCAAAAAGGGTTTGGAAGGGGATTCTCCAGGGCCTCATCTTTGAAAGCGTCACCATTAGTTGATGGTGTCGGAAGGAGTCAGTCTTCTTTAGGGATGTGGATATAGAGAGGTTGCCCAGGCCCCAGTGGACAGCCTCACACCTGTGCTCATGTGTTCAGGGCTAGTTGGACTGCGGCTGTTCATAGCAAAGAAGGAGGATGTGAAGCAGAGAAGGTAACAAGGTGGGAGCATTAGGAAGAGTTGGAGGGAGGTGGTGGTGGATGGGGCTGTGGTCAAAACACATTGTATCTATGTATGAAAAACATTGAAGTTAAACTACTGCCATTTGTGTTGGTCTTGTACAATTTTATATACATTTCATAATGTTTAGAAGCTTCGCGTTTCACTGCCAGTAGTCTTTGTTTGGTTTTATTAATTTGTTTCTTTACTGTGTCATCCAGGCAGGCCTCCAGCTCACAGGGGAGTCTCTTGCCCAGCCTCTCATTTGTTTAAGTTAGCAGGCTTGAGCCACCGTAACCTAGCAATGAGGAATTTCTGTTCTTCTTCTTCTTCTCTTGGTTTGATTTTGGCTGTACAGGCCAAACATAGAGCCCTTTGCATACTAGGTGTGTTCTCTATTATTGAACTATGTCCTTAAGACTGTTTTTTTTTTTTTTTTTTTGTAACAGAATCTTACTGTGTAGTCCAGGTTATAGGCAGTTCTTTGTTGGGATTGCTAGCTCACCAATAATTACACAGAGACTTAATATTAATTATAAAAGCTGGGCAGATAGCTTAGGCTTGTTTTTAACTATCTTTATAATTTAAATTAACCCATTTCTTTTTATCTGTGTTCTTTTACATGACTCAGTTACCTTTACTGTGTACTGCCCATGCTGCTTCCTCTGAATCTCCTGGAATATCTGCCTCTCTGCCCTTCTTCCCAGCATCCTTTCTACCTAAAATCCTGACTAGCTATCGGCCATTCAGCTTTTTATTAAACCAATCTGAGTGACACATCGTCACAGTGTACAAAAAGATTATTCCATACCAGGTCTTTGAACTTAGAGATCCTCCTGCCTCAACCTTCCCAGTCCTAGGATTACAGGCATGTGCCACCCACCCCAGCCAGAAGTTCTTCATGGGGGTAGATGATCAAAGTTTGAAAGGATTAAAAATACACTTTTTAAATAGATCCTACTCATTCGGTTAAATTACATTCAAAGCCTAGTATGCTACTACACTTTTGTGATACCAGCATTTAGGAGGTATTATGAATTCAAGGACAGTCTTGGCTTCTTAGTAAGTTCCTATCCACTTTGAGCTAAATAACAAGATCCCATCTTTTAAAAAAATTTAACCAGGTTGGACATGGTGGTAGTTCAAGCCTTTAATCCTGGCACTTGGGAGGCAGAAGCAGGCAGATCTCTGAGTTCGAGGCCAGCCTGGTTTGCAAAGTGAGTTCTAGGACAGCCAGGGCTACACAGAATAACCTTGTCTCAAAAAAAAAAAAATCAGCCATTGCTCAAAATGACTTGTCCAGATTTCCATCCATGTTGTATTGGAGTTCTTACCCTAGAGCAGTGGTTCTCAACCTTCCTAATGCTGGGACTCTTTAATACAGTGCCTCATGTTGGATGACCCAGAACCATAAAATTATTTTGTTGCTACTTCATAACTATAATTTTGCTACTGCTATAAATCATAATGTAAATATGTGATATTCAGGATACCTCATATGCAACCCACAAAGGGGTTGAGACCCACAGATTGAGAACCACTGCCCTAGAGCATATCACAGGGTCTCAATCAATCAGTCTGTTGGTCTGTCTCTGTTTCCCCCACCTCTTGTGTTTGTCTGTCTGTATGTCTGTCCCACCTCCACCTCTGCCACTCTTTCTTTCTCTATCTCTCTCCCAGGATGCATGAATTCCTCTTGCCTCAACCTTCATGCTGTGATTACAGGTGTGAAACACTGTGCCCTACAAGGCATCTCTTAAAACCAGATCAGCAACTGCCTTGTTCAGTTTCTAACACAGTCTTCTAAATTGTAATCTTGTTCCATTTCCTAGGGCATCCAGCGACGGATCACAGTGACTATTATCCACGAGAAGGGCAGTGAGCTCCACTGGAAAGACGTTCGTGAACTGGTGGTAGGTAAGTATGTTCCGTTAGCCGAGGACAGCCTGACTTTTAAGAAATGTCATCATTCTGTGCAGAGTGCAGGAGAGGTATAGAAATGTGGAGAACACAGAGTAGAGAAAATAAAGGCCTTGAGTTTCAAGCTCTTTTGAGTGCTGGTGTTGTGGCTTAGGAGTAGAGTGATTGCCTAGTAGATGCAAAGTCCTCAGTTTAATCCCTTCTACTGCAAATAGAAAAGAAAAAAAAAAGAAAGAAAGAAACTCCTTTTCCCAGTTCCCATTAATATGCCGTCCTACTATTAACTATGAGTATAGATCTGAGCTAGAGGTTATGAGAAGATCATGAAGAAATCTCTGCTCATTCTGAATGTGTAGTTAGTTGTTGTAAAATAATTAGATAAATCAGTGCCATGGTTCGGTGGTAGAGTCCTTACCTAAGATATGCAAAGCTCTGGCCTCCATCCTGGCATAGTAAAACAAAATGAGACAACCTTGGGAAATCATGTAGGATCCTAGACTTATTCAGATGATCTCTAAGCACCTAATTACAGAGATTGAAAAGTGTGTGTGGTTGGGCAGTGGTGGCACAGGCCTTTAATGCCAGCACTTGGGAGGCAGGTCAACAGAGAGAGTTCCAGGATAGCCAGGACTACACAGAGATACCTGTTCAAAAAAACAAAAAAAGAAAGAATGTGTGTGTGTGTGTGAGAGAGAGAGAGAGAGAGAGAGAGACAGAAACAAACAGGGAGAGAGAGCATCTAGGCAAATATTCTCCATGAAGATATGGTACCTAAGATTGAATTTAGGGTCTTGCACATGTTCTGCCACTAAACTAGCTCCTTATATCTTTTTTTTTAAAGACAGGATGTCACTAAGTTGCCCAGGCTGGCCTTAAACTTGTGATCCTTCTGCTACATAGCTAAGATTATAGGACTGTGCCACCAGACCTTTTGATTTAACAGAATTATGTCTTGTTTTTAATATGCTCATCTTCTGGTTTCTTTATCCCTTCTTTTAGGTCGGATTAGGAATAAACCTGAGGTAGATGAAGCTGCTGTTGATGCTATCCTTTCCCTAAACATCATCTCTGCTAAGTCCCTGAAGTCTTCCCACAACTCCAGCAGGTAAGATAACCATGGGACACAGAAGTGTCAGCCTGGTGCTTGTTGATGGACTCCCATTAGACTTCCTGTTTCTGACAACTTCAGTGCCAATGAAGAGAGGAATTCCCTTCTTCAAAAATTCTGTTTTAGACAATAGGCATGGTGGTGAACACCTTTAATCCCAGTCCTGGGAGTCAGAGACTAGAGGATCTCTATGAGTTCAAGGCCAGCCTGGTCTATATAGCAAGCTCCAGAACAGCCAGGACTACATAGAGAGATTTTGTCTCTAATTATTTAATTCATTAAATTAAAAGCAAAAAGAAATTCTGTTCCAGAGCTTGAAAGATGACTCATTGGTTAAAAGGGCTTACTGCTCTTGCAGAGGACCCAAGTTTGGTTCCCAGCACCCATATCACATGACTCAGAACAGTCTATAATTCCAGCTCCAATGCTGATTGTGCAGAAAGCCTTTAGGTTGCCAGATTTAGAGAAGAGAAACATTCTGATTTCTTTTGTGTTTATTAGCTTGATTTCTTTTTTTTTTTGTAAAGAATATACAATTGAAAATCGTGAAAATGAATCTTTTAAAAAAGAAGAAATTAAACCAGTTATAGAGGTGCATGCCTTTAATCCCAGCACTTGGGAAGCAGAGGCAGGTGGATCACTCTGTGGCTATCTCACCAGCCTGAGCATTCTTTGCATTAACTGAAGCTTTGTGTGTACACATTCATTTATCAAGCTCCTGCAATAGGTTGAAGTCTTTTATTTAATTATGGGATCATTTGTTGGAATTCTGATTCTTTCTTGTAAAAACCACACTCATAATGTATCATGTAATTTTCTAGTTGGTGAAACAAGAACTGGAAGCTGAGAGGAAGAGGGATTTAAAGTCAGAAGCCATTGTGGGCCACATAGTGAAAGCCTGTCTCAAATTAAAAGAAAAAAATCTCACCTAAATTTAACACCTAAATTAAATCATTCAGAATTTTCACTTTAGAAAAAAATCATTAAAATTGGTCTTCACAGAAAGTTCTTTTTACCTTCATATTTGATTGATATGTCTAATGTTTAATTAAATTTAAATGATTATAATAACACAGATGGCATAAAGAGATTTGAGGGGGCTGGAGAAATAGCTGAGCAGTTAAGAGCACTGGCTACTCTTCAAGAGGACGCAGACTGGGTTCTCAGACCCACATAGCAGCTCAGAACTGGCTGTGACTCCAGTTCCATAAACCTAGGCATATGAGACACCTCTCTAGTTTGGAATATTCCTTTTTATCTCTTAGGGAGATCGAGAGCTGTATTTGTTACTTGTCTTGTCGCTGTAGCAAAACCCCTGGCGAACAGCAACTTCAGGAGGGAGGAAAGGGTTTGTTGCAGTTCTGGAATGTGGTTGTCATGGTGAGGCAGCAGGAGCCTGAGGCAGCTGGGCCCATGGCATTGCAGTCAGGAAGCAGAGTGATGAACACTCAGCTCACTCTCTTCTGTGGATTCAGTCTGGAACCCCAACCATGGAATGGCACAGCTCTCCTTTAGGGAGACTTATCCCACCTCAGTTAACTGATCTAGACAAGTGCTCTCTCGCTCTCTCTCTCTCTCTCTCTCTCTCTCTCTCTCTCTCAAACACACACACACACACACACACACACACACACACACACACACACACACACACACACGCCTACAGGTTTGTCTCCCGAGAACGATTCTAGGCCTGTCAAGTTGACACAGTTTTAACCATTGCAGGCTTATAGGTTAGTGTGGTGAGTTGCTAAGTGAGCTGAACTAAGAGGGCTTATGTTCTAGTTATGTAAGGGCTAGTGTTTAAGTTGAATGCATAGATTGCACATTGGTAGTACCATATATGTGTCTTAAGGGCTTTTCTAACACATGATAGTAAAGAATAATTGACAAGGTCTCGATTCCCTTTCTTCCCACACCTACACTTGTGTTAACCAATTGCCTTGGTTTTCTTTTTGCTCAACAGCAGTGTCTTACCATATCCAGTACAAGGTCCCCATGGGGGGTGATTAATAGATCTGATCTCCATATCCCCTTGTATGTCAATCCTTTTTCTTAATGAATTCTCAGAAGGGTCCATGTTACTGTAAGTCCCTTATCAGATTGTATCCCAGAGTTCTCTATTCATTATTTGTGCACTGGAATTCAGTTTGCTTGTTAGCATATTTTGCCTTTTTTTAAAAAAAAAAAAACTTTTTTCTATGCTTCTGTCTCTCTATATTTGTTCTCCCTCCCCCCTCTCTGTCTCTCTCTGTCTCTCTCTGTCTCTCTCTGTCTCTGTCTCTGTCTCTCTCTCTCTCTCTCTCTCTCTCTCTCTCTCTTCTGGTCACCAGACTAACGAAAGCCTTTTCTGTTTTGCAGGCTCTCTCTTGATAAGGATATTCCTAGGTACTTGGTGTTGCCCTTTTGCACATAGAGACTCTGGTTTACCAGGATGCTTTCTGTCGTATGTTGCTTTGGTTGCTGTTTTGTTCAGTGATTTAGTCCCTGTGTAAACCTAAGCTGTACCTAGAACAGAGCAAGACCTTGTTTTGCAACCTAAGAATACCACTGGTGCCTTAGGTTCTACTGATGTATATACAGTTTCCTGTGTAACTTCTCTAAATCTTTTTTTTTTTATTTTTTTTTAATGTGCATTGGTATTTTGCCTGCATGTCTGTGTGAGGGTGCTGAATCCCCTAGAACTGAAGTTACAGACAGTTGTGAGCTGCCATGTGGGTGCTGGGAATTGAACCCGGCTCCTCTGGAAGAGCAGCCAGTGCTCTTAACCGCTAAGCCATCTCTCCAGCCCCCTGTGTAACTTCGCAAATGACCTAGTGCTCTAAATTATTTTCTCATTCCATTTACTGATTTGTAAACGCCTCTTCAAGTTGTCCTTTTCTACATCCTAAAATAGAATATTTCACATTTCATATGAAATTTCAGGCTTTGTTCCCTGACATTCCCCCTTCCCTTCCCCGTCTCCACACCCTCACCACTCTCAAAAGATGGAAAGGTCTGTTGCTCTGCAGCTTTGCACATCCCACTCATTTTCTTTGTTTTGTTCTGTGCCCACGACACCAAGACCAAGCTGGCTATTTGGATGGTTGAGTCTGTAAGAAGAAATGTTAGTCCATTAGTTTGTTTGTTTATTATTTTATGGTTTTTTTTTTAAACAGAGTTTCACTGTATAGACCAGGCTGGCCTTAAACTCACAGAGATCCTCTTGCCTCTGTTTCCCAGGTGTCAGGGTTAAAGGCGTGTGCCACAACATATGGCCTCATGTATTTTAAAACATTTCTTTTTTTTTTTAATTTTTTTTTTTTTTGGTTTTTCGAGACAGGGTTTCTCTGTGTAGCTTTGCGCCTTTCCTGGAACTCGCTTTGGAGACCAGGCTGGCCTCGAACTCACAGAGATCCACCTGCCTCCTGAGTGCTGGGATTAAAGGCGTGCGCCACCACCGCCCGGCAAAACATTTCTTTTTTATCTGTATGTCTTAACATATTTTCCTTTTGGGGGATAGAAAAAAATTAGGAATGGGGGAAAAAGTTCTTTTAGACTAGAAAAAAATCTTGATAGTGAAGTGTTTTCCTATTTCCTTTACTTGATTTAGGAAAGAAAACTGAAGAAAATGGTGATACATTGTTTGCCACTCTAAAGGCGGTAGAACCTGGGCGAATGTAGCCTAAAAATGAGGTGGACTAAGTCTCATGCAATAGCCCACTTTATTGAGAGCATCAGACAATTTATATTCTGAGAGTTAAGAGGAGTCGAATTCGAAAAGTGTACAATCACAAGGACAAAGCTGCACATGGCAAAAACATGTTTTCCATAGAGGCCGATAAACAGAAAACAACAGCCAGCTGTAATGAATAATCTGAAGTGAGCTCACTCCTACTGCTTCACCTGGGAGGGCACAGAAACACATTCCAAGGACAGTTCTGTGTTTTGAGGAAACTGAGGTCACAAGACTCTTGTCTTGTTTTCTTGGAGTTTTTCCACAAACACTTAGAATTTTCCTCACACAACTCCATTCCTAGACTGTGTTCCAACAACACATGAAAAGGTGGTCCAGACTGTTATTTGGCAGATGAATGAGTATAATGAGTTTAGATCTTAGTGTGGATATCACCTGTTCACATAGAGATTCTCCCAGTGAACTCATCAGGGTGTGTCATTGGCAGGAGAATAGTCCCACCTGACTCTCCTCTGTGTCACACACACACACACACACACACACACACACACACACACACACACACACAGAGCATGAAGTGTAACCATAATTTAAAAAGTTAGTATTGCCATGCATGGTAGCACAGCACTGAGGAGGCAGAGGCAGACAGATCTCTGTGAGTTTGAAGCAAGTCTGATCTGTATAGAGTTCCAAGCCATCCAGCTCTAAATAGTGAGACACTGTCTCAAAATAAATAAAGATTTTTTTTAATTAGAAACAAAATTCCCCTTTATCTCAGCCAGGTTTGTGCTAGTAAAAATTTTGCTTTAGATTAAGTGAAGTCTTTTTTTTTTTTTTTAAGATTTATTTATTTATTATGTATACAATATTCTGCCTGCATGTGTCCCTGCAGGCCAGAAGAGGGCACCAGATCTCATTACAAGTGGTTATGAGCCACCATGTGGTTGCTGGGAATTGAACTTAGGACCTCTGGACCTCTGGAAGAGCAGTCGGTGCTCTTAACCACTGAGCCATCTCTCCAGCCCAAGTGAAGTCTTAACTTGAAAATGAAATATGAAAAGAGTTTCCTCCGACTGCAAACATTGCTTCAACTGGAAGAATGCCAGGAAGTCTCAGGCGTGGCCTAGGTGGAGCTGGGTGAGGGTTTGGGACTGAGTGAATAAGCACAAGGACAGGTGACAGTGATAGAAATCTGTCATAGCGCCTGCTACTCTAAGGGAGCCTTCTTTACTTCAGCATGTGTGTGCCCATCTCTGGCAGCTGACAGGGATGCCATCCCATCTGAGACACCTTGACAAGTAGGGACAGAATAAAAGAACAACTCTCAGTGTGGTGGAGTTCTTTTGCTGAATATCATCTCCCATTATGAAAATTTTTCTTAAACCAAATTGAAATAAAGATTTTACTTTAAACAGGATTTTGAGTGCATGAAGGTTTTCTGCTGAATCTGTAAGCCATGAAAAAGGCTTCCTCTGTTTGGCATTTTTGTTACACTTTGGGTTACTTGATGACTCTCTCATTAATTATTGCTATCTATATGCCTTCTGTACAGAGAATTTTCTTGACCCACACTTACTGCCTCCAAACTCACCATTGAGAAACAGTCACATTCTAGAAAAGAACTGAGTAAGAACAGCTGCAAAGGGGAGTGGCCACACCTCAAACCTGGGCACTGGAAAGATGGGGTGTAGTTAGGGACTTCACTTCCAGAAAGTTCTCTGCTCATGTTTTCTGGAGGAAGATGCATGGGATGTGCTTAGATAGAAGGTATGCCTGTTGGCTGTCATTGGAAATCCAGGAAAACAGAACCAGTGACTCAGTCACCATTTAGAAGGTGTAAGGAAGAACGGGACTGCAGGGAGCAGGGACTGTAAACACTCTTTCTGTGTGATCGAGGTGAGCTCTGTTCTGCTCGAGAGCTAGTCTTGTGAGGCATCTCCCCCTGAAGTGTCATCGTTCTAAGAAGGAAATGGTCCAGAGCTTGGAATTCATCTGTAGCTCCACCGGGGTCACCTGTCTGTCATGTCTGCCAGTAGGAAAAACTAATACTTGAAGAACTTAACAAACTAGTCTGTGGATGTCTGCTAACTTCAGCTTATGATTATTTTTTAAATTCACGGTTGGTTTTCAGACAGGTTTAGAAGGAATGAAGAATAATTAACTGCCTCTGGTGTTGTAAAATTACTCTGTCCTATTGATAGCTCAATTTGTGTTCATTCATTGAAATAACCTTCTCCATAATTAAATTCTGCCTGTTCCTACCTTTAACATCCCAGATACAGTGTTTCTAAGCATCAGCAGAATTGTCTGTGAACTTTAGATCTCCGGGGATGTGAGGACTGAAGCTGACAGTTCCTGAGTCCTTACTTCTTATCTTGTTACTAAAACACACAGGGTGGCTCACTTGGTCTTTTTCTTCCAGGTTCTGTCCACATTCTTCTTAATTCTTTTGAATGCTCTCACAGTTTGTGTTGGTGGTGGGGCTGGTTTTGTTTGAGAATGAGTTTTGTGCTGTGTCCTGGCCAGCTTGGAACTTGGTATTTAGACCAAGCTAACCTCAAACTTCAGCAGTCCTGACTGCCTGAGTGTTGGGATGCAGCCATGTACTACCATTCCTGACAGTGCTGTTGCAGTTTTCATGTTTATAGGCAAAACCTTTATCAAAAACTATGGATGGGGTGCACAGCTAAGTGTCCCTAAATTATAATGGGCACCTGCCAAGGTTCCTTCCTTGTTAAAAGAGTGATTAACAGCCGGGCGGTGGTGGCGCACGCCTTTAATCCCAGCACTCGGGAGGCAGAGCCAGGCGGATCTCTGTGAGTTCGAGGCCAGCCTGGGCTACCAAGTGAGTTCCAGGAAAGGCGCAAAGCTACACAGAGAAACCCTGTCTCGAAAAACCAAAAAAAAAAAAAAAAAAAAAAAAGAGTGATTAACAGAGAGCACAGTGGTTGACATAGGATTCCTTAGGATCCCTGACACCAGCAATCCCTCTGCTGCCCTAACATCAGCTGCTTTTGGTTGACACATTGTCTTTCTGACCTCAGGACCTTCTACCGTTTTGAGGCTGTATGGGACAGCTCCCTACATAACTCCCTCCTTCTGAACCGAGTGACACCCTATGGAGAAAAGATCTACATGACCTTATCTGCTTATCTGGAGGTAAGGGACCCAGAACTTGAGCAGGCCCTGAGAAGTGGGCAGTAACAGAGAGCGGTCAGCAAAATTTCAACGTATTTTCATTCCTTTTCTCTCCATATCCTTAAATTGTTTATTTGATTTACTTTATTTGATTGTAACTGTTCTGATTGTTTTAGATTCTTTTCCAGGGCTCTTTTTAGTCAAAAGATAACAACTTTTTTAATTACTTAAGCTTCAGGAACCCAATCACCAGTTACGACAGTTTCATACCATGCTTTCCCGAGCGTAACAGAAACTAATAGTTCTAAGTCTTGGGACAAGCCTGAGTTCTTCTGTTGTTAATTTTATGTTTTGAGACAGAGTCTCAGGTAGCCAAGGTTTCCCCAAACTCACTATGCAGCTGAAGGTGACTTGGTGCTTCTGTTTCCACTTCCCAGGTACTGGGGTTACAGGCATGCAACACCATCCTGATCCGAGCCTGAGTTCTAATCCTTGTGCTGTCATTTACTGCCCCTATGTCCTTAGAGAAGCTCTGTCTGTGTCCCAGTTTCTTCCTTTTTAAACGGTGTATAATGATAGCATTTTCCCTCAAAGGAAAAGAAATGTGTTCATCATGAATGCTCCTGACCTTTCATCACTCTCTGTTGAGAGGCTTTTGAAATCATTGGTGAAGCAGAAGCCTGCCTATCTCCACGGCTGGAACCAGCTTTCCAAAGTTGCTACTGTACAGCCTCTTATCACAGGTGCTCTGTCTGCATTCATTCAGCACCTTATCTTGTCTGTTTGCAGTTGGATCATTGCATCCAGCCAGCTGTCATCACCAAGGATGTGTGCATGGTCTTCTATTCCCGAGATGCCAAGATCTCACCGCCACGTTCTCTGCGAAGCCTCTTTGGTAGTGGTTACTCAAAGTCACCAGACTCGTAAGTTTTTGAAACAAGTTTAGTTTCCAGGTCTTTGCCCAGTCCAACAGAAAGAAACAACAGCCCTTAGGTACCCTGTCTGCTGTTGCAAGTTAATAATCTATAAGCCAATTGAGTGACTGATACCTAAGATGCAGTGACTCACGTGGTGGTGTGTAATAAATGTTAATGAATGTGTGAGTTGATGAAGGAAAGGAGAATGTTGTATAGTAAATACTTCCAAAACGGGTTTGCAAGGACTAATTGTCACTATTAATCATATTTTTAACAGATTGCCATTGATATTTTCATCTTTATAAGAGTTATTGTACAGGGGCTGGAGAGATGATCTTCTAGAGGTCCTGAATTCAATTCCCAGCAACCACATGATGGCTTCCAGCTATCTGTAATGAGATCTGGTGCCCTCTTCTGGCATGCATGCATACAGGCAGGACACTGTATACATAATAAGTAAATAAATCTTTAAAAAAAAAGTTATTGTACATATTTAAGGCATAAAAATACATTTGAGAATATATGGCATAGATACATGAATATCACCACCCAGCTTAATGAATAAAATAAGAATTACTATGATACAATGAAAGTTTGAAAGTCCCTTTCTGTTCACAGTGTCCAGAATTGTTGAGCATTTCATTCCAGTCAGACATTTTCCTGTCTTCTCTTACGTCACGAAAAGAAGTTTTTCATTTCCTCATTTATGTTGTGAATTTTCTAGTTTATCCTGTTCTTTTCATCCTATTGAAATAACAGATTAAAATGAAAATAAGCTCCTCTTAAGAAAAGACAAGTAAACAAACTAACAGTTACTGATAAAAATAAGCAGTGTCTTAGCTAGGACCAGAAAGGTGGCTCAGGGGTGAAGGGGCCTGCCATCAAGCCTGAAACCTGAGTCTGAGCCCCAGAACTCACACGATGGCAGCAGAAAACTGACTCCCCAAACTGTCCTACAACCACACATGCACACACAGTAAGTAAAAATGAAAAAGGCAGTGTGTGTATCTGAGTGTGGAACTGTGGCCCTTGAGATGCCCTGCTTTTCCTAAGTAAGCAGATCTAGGTTTCCCTCCTTTTGTGCTACAAGAAACTCAGCAGCTGCTCTACTTTATTTCCAAATAGCAACCGAGTTACTGGAATTTATGAACTGAGCTTATGCAAAATGGCAGATACTGGTAGTCCAGGTAAGCTCTTACCATACCATATGCTTCAAGAGTATTACTAAAAAACTTGGAGTCTTATTCATGTCTTTTAGAAACTGTGTGTATTTTACAAACCAGTTTTGGGGGGTGGGTAAGATACATAAATACAAGATTTATGATATACAATGTCATTATGAAAATGGTGTCCAACAAGATATGCTAGGCTATGAAATATAAACTTTTTGAGAATTAGAATAACTTTGGCTTAGAAAGATCTTCTTGAGATCAGGTTTTGTTTAGGCAGACCTACAACTTAGAGCAGTCCTCTTGCCTTCCAAGTGCCGGGGTCACAGGTTCTGAGCCACCATCCCTGGCTGTTCAGAAAACCTCACAGCTGCTTACTACACCACTTTAACAAAGATCGTTTGTCAGCCTTGCATTACTGGGCTTGTAACAACATCAGCTTTACCTGGGAAATCATCAGAGGTTCATAGTAAGGGTTGGGACAGGTTAATAATAGTAGAGTGTTTGTTTAATATGTGCAGGGCCCATACTAACAAGTTTGGAGAATAGTTTTGGGAGAATGTCATGGATTTATTATCTCTCTCTCTCTCTCTCTCTCTCTCTCTCTCTCTCTCTCTTTCTCTTTGTGTGTGTGTGTGTGTGTGTGTGTGTGTGTGTGTGTGTGTGTGTGTGTGTGTTTTGAGACAGGGTTTCTCTGTGTAGTCCTGGCTGTCCTGGAACTTACTTTGTAATAGACCAGGCTGGCCTCGAACTCAGAGATCCACCTGCTTCTACCTCCCAAGAGCAAAGATTAAAGCCATGTGCCACAACCACCTGGCTTTCTTTCTCTTTTTTAACACAGGGTCTCACTATGTAGCCCTGACTGTCATGGAACTCAGTGTGTAGACCATGCTGGCCTCAAACTCACAAAGATTACCTGCTAGAGTGCCACCATTCCCGACATCGATTTTGTTAATAAAATCTCATAGATTTTAAGGTCAAATTTAGTTTGCTATGTAAATATGTATAAGAGTTAGTAATTGTTTTGACCTAAATTGAAATTGGATTTTTGTCTGGGGGTATAAAAAACAAAAAGATATGTTTCTTCTTGTTAGGCATGCAGAGGCGGAGGAGAAAAGTCTTGGATACCTCTGTGGCATATGTGCGGGGGGAAGAGAACCTAGCAGGCTGGCGACCTCGTGGAGACAGCCTCATCCTGGAGCACCAGTGGGAGCTGGAGAAGCTGGAGCTGCTGCACGAGGTATCGAGGACTCAGGGAGGATAGCAGCCACTCAGTCCTACTCCTGCCTTCTCTCATGACCTCCACTAACTGTTGGTTTTCTGTGATGATGAAAGCATAATGATTTGCCTATTAAAATGTTTAATGAGCTTAGATAATGATGTTCATATTCGCAGGTGGAAAAAACACGCCACTTTTTGCTGCTTCGGGAGAGACTTGGTGACAGCATACCCAAGTCTCTGAGTGACTCATTGTCCCCCAGCCTCAGCAGTGGGACCCTTAGTACCTCCACCAGCATGTCTTCTCAGATCTCAACCACCACCTTTGAAAGTGCCATCACACCAAGTGAGAGCAGTGGCTATGACTCAGCAGACATCGAGAGCCTGGTAGACCGAGAGAAAGAACTGGCTACAAAGGTAGGAGGGAGTCCCTTCTTTTTTGTTAGAGTCCCCACCACCAGGGGGGCTGAGATAGTCTCTGTGTTCTTTCATTTTCAGCCGTTTTCTTGGAAGACACTAACACTGAATGTAGAAATAATAAGGATGAATTCTTTCCCTTAAGCTTGAGACTGGGTAACAAGCATATCACAGTGGTGTGTCTTATAGATGTGGTGTCGTGAACTGTCCTTGGAAGTACATGTTAGAAGGGAACTCAAGTGGTAGAGGGACAGGAATGGGGTAGGTCCTATGTGGGGCATCCAGGACTTTGCAGTGGGTCCTGGGAGTGCTGTAAATATTTTAAATGGTATTTGTTTCTATGTTTTCTTAAACAGGATTTAGAAATTCTTTAATAGGAATAATGGCATATAACTCAGTGGTAGTGCACTTACCCAGCATGAGCGCGGCCCTGAGTTTGACCTTAAGTACTACAGAAAATCCATTCAATTAAACAGCAGTAAAACAGTACAAGTTTTCTTCAGTGAAATAAAAAGGATAGCTTTGTAAGACTGCGGGAGGGGTCCTTGTGACAGTGATCCAGGAAGGAAAGATGAAGCCTTTTAAGAACATGAGGAAGGGGTTCTGGATAGGTGGGAGAAGGCAGAGGGTTGTTGAGGATGACTCCTGGGTCTGTAATTGCTCAGTAGTTGGTGACAGAGGAAATAGAAAACTGACAGGGGGTTTTGTCTGTCTTGCTTTAGTAGTTAAGTGGTCTTCTAGAGGGTTTAGGAAACTGGAAATGTTATGCTTTTGTTTTTTGTTTTTCTCGTGTGGGGAATTGAACTTAGATCCTCATAAATGCTAGGCAAATACTGCTACTAAGCTGTATTCCCAACCCATGTTCATGTCCTTTATTGAGTTGAGAATTAAAGGGATGTTCATTCTTTTGGGTTTTCTGAAACAGAGTCTTTCCTATATTGCCTTGGCTGATCTGGAACTGGTTATGTAGATCAAGCTAGCTTTGAACTCCTGGCTCTGTCTGCTCAGTGGTGGAATTAGAGAGATATATTGCCATGCCTGGTCCTGCTGCTATATTCCTAAGCAGCACTGCTACTGCTACTGCTATTACTACTACTTCCTCCTCCTCCTCCTCTTCCTCCTCTTCCTTCTTCTCCTCCTTCTCCTTCTTCTTCTTCTCCTCCTCTTCCTTCCTTTTTTTTTTTTTTTTTTTTTTTTGATGCAGAGTCTTTCTATTATATAGTCCTAGCTGGCCTAGAACTTGCTATGTAGACCAACTGACCTTGAATTCACAGACATCTGCCTACCTCTGCTGTTATGGGTCACTGTGCTGGGTCACTGTGCTCCTAAGCACTTCTAAACTATGATATTTAGTAATTAGCTTTGGTTGTATGAAGAGTGATTGTTTAGGTGGTAGCACACGCCTTTAATCCCAGCACTCATGAGGCAGAGGCAAGTGAATCTCTGGGAGTTTGAAGCCAGCGTGGTCTACAGAGTTAGTTCCAGGGCAGCCAGGGTGGTTTCAGAGAGAAACCCTGTTGTAGGTGGAAGTTTCTGACCTACTAGCAAGTCCCAAATACCTGGCAGCCTCTTCCCAAATTGCCACACAGGAGGCTTATATTAATTATAAATGCTTGGCCAGTAGCTCAGGCTTATTACTAACTAGCTCTTACACTTAAATTAACTCATAATTCTTAACTGTGTTTAGCCACGTGGCTTGGTACCATTTCTCAATATGACATTCTCATCTTGTTTCCCCTGAATCTGGCTGGCGACTCTCTGACTCAGCCCTTCTCCTTCCCATCTTCCTTAGTTTGGTCGCCCTGTCTATACGTCTTGCCTGGCTACTGGCCAATCAGCATTTTATTAAGCTAGTTCCAGTGATAAAATCTTTACAGTGTACAAGAGAATTATTCCACAGCACCCTGTCTTGGGGGGGGGGGGGGAGAATGGTTGTTTAAATCCATTTGTTTTTTATGGCCTTAACTAGATATATCCTGGTTTTCCTCAGCATATTCTTAGTTATTCTAAGGCAACATTTGAGCTCTAGCATAGGTGTTGGATATGTTAGTTCTCCTTGAATACAGGGGTTCATTTAGCCATTGGAGTTTTATGGTCAATTTTAACCAGTTCACCTTCTGTCTTTCTTTTTTAGTGCCTGCAGCTTCTCACCCACACTTTCAACCGAGAATTCAACCAGGTACATGGCAGCATTAGTGACTGTAAGGTGAGCATACTAAGGCTGTTGTTTTTCACTGTCATGGTGATGACTGTTTCCAGCTCTCCAAATTTCCTGTCACAGCTTTTGTGCTTTTAGGACCAGCGTTGGTTATAGATTGTGTTTGAAGGTATATAACATTATTCTCTGGTATGTCTTCTGATTTTGTACAGTCAGAGTTCTGACTTCTGAAGATGGCGGTCTCCCTCTATGATGCTTAGGGTCACGGTCACACAGGAAATATTTTGTTTTTTGTTTTTTTTTTCCTGAGTCCCTGAATGTGATGTAGGAAGTGGTATGCTTTTGTATGACACAAAAGTCATAAGGTGAGGACCGGAGAGGTGGCTCAGCAGTAAAAAGCACTGGCTGCTCTTCTAAAGGCCCTGGGTTCAATTCCCAGTGCCCACATGGCAGCTCACAACTGTCTGTAACTCCAAGATCTGACCCCCTCACGCAGACATACATGTAGGAAAACACCCAATGCACATAAGACAAAAATAAATAATTTTTTAAAAAAGTCACAAGGCCGCTGGCGGCACCAAGCTCAGGGCCTTCAGCAGAGAGTGACGGCACTGGAGAGCGCTTGTGTCAGAGCAATCAGCGTGACTTTTTGCTTTTCCTTGCCTGGGTCTTTGTAGACTTCACATACTTTCTTCTAGACATTCCCATGTTTATATCCATCATTTCTTCCGGGTTTTGTTCCAGCATTGTCTTCCTGGGAATGGGCCTCCTTCAGCCCACATAGCAAGCTAGCAGCTCTCTGAAACTCTTGTTTTTGTTTTTATTGTTTTAATTTGATATTTATGGCCTTTTTGCATGCATGTAGGTCTATGCACTGCATTTGTGGCTGACACCGGTGGCGGTCAGAAAAGGTGTTGGATCCCTTGGAACTGGAGTCACAGATAGTTGTGAACCACTTTGTGGGTACTAGGAGTCGAACACAAGTCCTCTGTAAGAGCAACCAGTGCTCTTAACCACTGAGTCATGTCTCTGGCCCCACTGTCTGGCACTCTTAATTTTTATTTACTTATTTATTGTGATGTTTTTGAGACATAGTTTCACTATGTAACTCTGGCTACTCTGGAACTTGAGGCCAACCTGGTCTACAGAGTGAGTTCTAGGACAGCCAGAGCTACACAGAGAAATATGTCTCAAACAAAAGAAAACAAAACAAAAAGTCTATCTCCCTTCTTGATCAAATAATATATGCTCCGTGAAAGCAGGAATTCTGCCATGTGCTTAGAACAATGTATGCATGCTATAGGTGCACGATGTTTATGTGCATAAGGCTATTTAATAGCGAGGAGAATTAGTGATGAAAGGTGTTTCTTGTTCTCTTTTCTCCTTCCTCATCTCCCCCTTCTTTTTCTCCCAACTCTGGGGCTATCGTCTACTAACAGTAATAATTGTGTATAGAGATTTGTCTTCTTTGCTTGCTTGCTTGCTTGCTTGGCTTGGTTTTTGGTTTTTTGAGTCAGGGTTTCTCTGTGTAGCCCTGGCTGTCCTGAAATTCATTCTGTAGACCAGGCTGGCCTCAAACTCAGAGAGATCAGTCTGCCTCTGCCTCCTGAGTGCTGGGATTAAAGCATGTGCCCCCACACCCAGCTGAGGCTTGTCTTCTTTAAAGACTTTTGCATCAGCTTAATAAAAAGGAGACACTGGTTGTCTTGGGCAACTTCTGCTGTTCTCTACAGCAGAGGCAGAGGTAAATTTCTTCCCATACAAGAGAACCTGAGTTCAGATCCCCAGCACCCAGGTAAAAAGCATTTTCAGTGGAACGTGCCTGTAATCCCAGTGCTGAGGAGGCAGACAGGTGGATCCTGGGGGCTTGCTGGCCAGTTAGTCTAGCTAAAGTTGTTGAGCTCTGTTGTTTTGCTGCTGAATCTCATTGGTCATGTCCTTGTTTCTAGCTGTCTGATATCTCTCCAATTGGACGAGATCCCTCTGTGTCCAGTTTTAGCAGTTCTACCCTCACCCCCTCCTCCACATGCCCCTCTCTGGTGGACTCAAGGAGCAACTCAATAGATCAGAAGTAAGTACTCGGATTTCACAGACATAAGGAAAGAAAATACCAGCTTTGCTGTAGTTCTGGTTCTCAGTAAGGCATCACTATCCTATTACAGACCACTCAGAAATGTGTGGGCACTTTTTTCATTAAATCATATTAAATTTAGGGCCAGTGGTGGTGGTGAATGCCTTTAATTCCAGCACTCAGGAGGCAGAGACAAGCAGATCTCTGAGTTTGAGGCCAGCCTGGTCTGCAGAGTGAGTTACAGATGAGCAGGGCTATACAAAGAAACCCTGTCTTGAAAAACCAAACAAATAATAAATAAATAAGTTTAGAGTATTATTAGCTGTATGAAATTGTAATATGTGCCACTAAGAAAGGAAAAGCTAATAAAACACACCAACTAAATGAAAGCTGCATCCCAGCTGAAGACATGATAAAACATGGAGGACTGGGGAGATGGCTCTTATAGTAAAGGTCTTGCCATACAAGCCTGGGAACCTGAGTTCAGATCTCCAGCACCCATATAAAAGCATTTTCAGTGGAACGTGCCTATAATCTCAGTGCTGAGGAGGCAGAGACAAGTGGATCCTGGGGGCTTGCTGGCCAGTTAGTCTAGCTAAAGTTGTTGAGTTCCAGATTCAGTGAGAGCCTCTGTCCAAAAATACCATTTCCCAGGCTCAGGGAACATCACAAAAGAGGGGACAGAAGGAATTTAAGAACTGGGAGATGGGAAAGAGTACTGTGAAATGCTGCTTCTGGATGACACATGGCCTTTGCAGCTCATGAATCAGCAGCAATTGTGGTCGCCTGCCTAAGGCCTACACATGATGGAACCAGTCACAGTTCTACCATGGATAGGGGTGGGGCTCTGGGAGAGAGTCGTAGGTGCGAGGTGGCCACCAGTAGGCTGCCTTTGCCCTTCTAGATGGCCCCTCACCTATGCGAATACCTAACTGAACTCGGTGGGTTATCAGCAGGAAGGGGCATGTGTTGGTGAGTCAGAGGGAGCTGGGGGAAGTGGAGAGGTGCAGACAATCAAAATACATTGGATACAGGTATAAAACTCTCAAATTGTAGCCATAATATCAAAGATTAAAACTTAAAAATTAAGTGAAGAATGGTAGAGAAAGGCATCCAGTGTTGATCTCTGGCCTCCACAAGCATGATCTCATACACATACACACACACACACACACACACACACACACACACACACACACACACACACGAAATAGTAAAGTTTGCAAAATGGACTTTGAGAATCAGAAAGATACAGTATCATCAGATTAAGCTGTTCTAGGAGGTCCCTAACACAACCAGAACAGAGACCTAAAGAATGGCCAATCACCACTCTGCTCCTGTGGGCCTAGGAACCTAGATGTTTCTCTTCTCATTGTTCACTTTCTTTACTATTTCCTAAGATGGCAGACTTACTAAAAACCCGTGGAAACTTTCTACAGTACAGTGGCCAAGCGCCTCCCTGAGTTTCTGATTGTGAAGTCTACCAGTCCCAGAGAATGCTGCTGCTGTCAGTCAGGGCCAGGACCACTGCCTCAGGTCTGGCTGTGAAACTGAAAGGAAACTCACAAGGGCATAGAGTTTATATTCAGATGCTTGTGTTCATAGAATAGCAGGTGAGACTGTGACTCACTGGCCCCCAGTATCCTTTTGCAAGGGAAACATAAAGTAGACTTGAGAATTACCATTCTGACACCAGCTTGTCTTAACAACTCTGAAGCTGATGTTTGCCCTGGTACTTAAGCAGAGGCACTGTGTCCTGGTAGGGTGATGTCCACAGGTGCTTTGACCTTCCTGAATGCTTCTTACTCCTTTCTTCCTCTGTAAGGACCCCAGAAGCCAATTCTCGTGCCTCTAGTCCCTGCCAAGAATTTGAACAGTTTCAGATCGTCCCAACTGTGGAGACACCCTATTTGGCCCGAGCAGGAAAAAATGAATTTCTCAATCTTGTTCCAGACATTGAAGAAGTTAGAGCAGGGTGAGTACTGTGACAAGCAGCCTTGCCAAATAAGAGACAAGCATCAGGAGTGGGTTGTCTAGTTCTTATGTGCAAGTCTGTTCCAGCCTAGAGTACACTGACCATCCCTACTGTGTGCATCAAGCGTCTGCGCCTGGCATTCTGTGTTGTTGTGGCATTTGCTCTTTTTCTGTGTTGCTTTGACCAGTGAGAATCTAGGCCAAATGGACCATTTGCCTGTCCGCTGCATCTGAGGGCCTGCCTAGTAGAAGCATATGTTGATGGTTCTCAGCTTATTAATTTAGGAGGAACTGACTTTTTTTTGCACTGTCCTTTAGGTCAGTGGTATCTAAGAAGGGATACCTGCATTTCAAGGAGCCACTTTCCAGCAACTGGGCTAAACATTTCGTTGTGGTTCGTCGTCCTTATGTCTTCATCTATAACAGTGACAAAGACCCAGTAGAACGTGGCATCATTAACTTGTCTACAGCACAGGTGGAGTACAGTGAGGACCAGCAGGCCATGGTGAAGGTCAGTCTGTCCTGTATTATTCCCTGTAGAGTTTTGGCTCTCTGCTCTGTGGCATGGGCCCTACTTTATATCTGGGTTGCTTGAACTTTCAGTATGAAGTGCTGTGCATCCTGTGAATATGGCAAGATGGTCCCCATTTTTCTTTCTCTACAATAACTTTCTCACTTACTTACTGTTTCTTTCCAGACACCTAATACCTTTGCCGTATGCACAAAGCACCGGGGGGTCCTTTTGCAAGCGCTCAATGACAAAGACATGAACGACTGGTTATATGCCTTTAACCCACTTCTGGCTGGCACAATAAGGTAAAAGGCTGTTCTTTTGTTTCATTTTGTCTTGTTGAGACATTCCTACTGTGTAGCCCAGGCTGGATTCCAAGTTCTCCACCTCTTTCCAAGTGCTAGGATTACACGTGTACAGTACCATTCCTGGCTTTAGGAAGCCATTTCCTTTCTCTCTTTGGCTTTCAGCCCCTGAGATACCAACATAAAGAGGAAAAGACATGTCATTCGAACTGGGTTGAAATCGAGGGAAGGCAAGAGTGTAAGGAAGGTATAAGGTGAAGATGAGTCCCTGTTTCTATAAGGTATCTGTGTCCTCACCATAAGGACACTTAGGGCTCACAACTTGTCTCCTTTTGTTTTCAGTTTTCAGGAGGCCTGCAGGGGAGAGAACTGGGTAAAGGAAAGACTTTGAGTGCCTTAATGGGCTCCCATAATTCAGCTCTCTGTGTCTGAGGGGCTTATCTCACAGACTTCCCCAAGTAGAGAAGACCACAGTCTAGTCATGTTTAGGAGCATAGAAACCTGGGCCTGCAGTGTTACTTGTGAGGAGACCTGTATCCAGTTTTCTAACCCTGCCTCCCATTTTTCTCATAGGTCAAAACTCTCTCGCCGATGCCCGAGCCAGCTGAAATACTAAGCAATTCTGCTGAGCCTTGCTCGCCTTGGACAGATAAAGAAAGTGTTACCTCTCATTCTCTTTGTGATTCTTAACGGTTATTCTTGTCTGTAATCTTGTGGCTTAACTACTTCTCCCCTTCATCCAGCACTTCTCTAGCTCTCCTGTTCCCTATCTCCATGGTTCTGTACTCTTCTTTTTCTTATGCTAAGACTTGTAGCATGTGGCCTAAGAAAGGGGAAAAAACACTACACACATTCATGTGCGCTCACATTCCCACACAGACCCTGAGGGTCCAGCCAGTCTCCACGATGTTTCCCAGTGTATGTCCGCTGCTTTGTGAATGGTAGATCCCCTTGTACTCACTGTCTGTCTGTTGTCTCTGTGTGTCTCTGGTTTTCAGGGTAATCAATCTCTCTCTCTCTCTCTCTCTCTCTCTCTCTCTCTCTCTCTCTCTCTCTCTCTCTCTCTTATTCGGTTTATGATAATACTACTTTTTCCTGGGTGGCTTAGAGACTAAGAGAGGAGACATTTGGCATGTCAGTCTTGGAGAAAAAAACTTGCTTTTCCCTCCTTCTGTCTCTTTATTTGGTGGCTAATCCCTACATTTCCATTCAGGGAAAGCACTGTGGGAAACTCAGAAATGGGATTTATATTCTCTATCCAAACCAGGGCTTAGAGCATGGATTCATAGAGTGGAAGAGACAGAAGGTCCTTTGTGATAGGCCTGGACAGTGGCTGCTGTTGGCCCTTTGAGGCCAGGCTGCTGCAGTGGATTGGGCAGTGGGTCATGAGGGTGATCATTAGAGGATGGGCTGGAGTTGCTCACAGCAGAATCCTGCAGGCTTTCTCCTCCTCACTGGGAAGTAGGCTTTTGTCTTGGAATTTCCCAACTCTGTCCTTAGCATTCCTAATGCTGGTCACACTATTTGGAATTATGTGATGTCATGAACACATTTCCCACAAGGGGGAGTGGGGGAGTGTTTGACTTCTGGGGATAAACTGGATCAATGTTGCTATGAGAGTGCTGAGTGCAACTTGGGATTGTTGTAGCTCCCTTTGGTCAAAGAATTGTAGCTTCAGCATAAACTTTGAAGTCACCATCGGAATCCAGTAGCCATTCCCAATAATGCTTGTCATGGCAGGCTTTGTTTTCTGGATGCCAGGATTCAGTCCCCACCACCATTCCAAACAAATCAGAAGACAACACTTAGGGATGAGAAGGAGTGTCCCCAACTGTCTTGTGGTTTGCTGTTGGATCCTGACCTGCCCCCCCCACTACTGTTTCCCATGTGGTTTGGAAGTACCCCCTTAGAAAAAAGAACTCCAGAGAAACCCTGTCTCGAAAAACCAAAAAAGAAAAAAAAAGAAAGAAAAGAAAAAGAAAAAAGAACTCCCTGCTCCCAGTTTCTGTGGCTTCTAACAAACCAGGTCAGGGTTCAAGAGACCATCAGAAAATCATGCTCTTCCTTTACCTGCCAGTGTTACAGGACTGAGTAGGGCACAGAAAGCCCCTGGTTGGGATCCTTCAGTTGCTTTGCCAGTGACTTGGGGCTCATTCATGCTGCCTTTTACTGGTCTTGCCAGCCTGTTTCACCATCGCTCAGGCACCCAGGAAAGCATCTGCCCACCTCCACTCTGGGAGGGTTCTTCACCCGAGGGTAATGGTGGAATGGATTTCTCTCTGGTCAGGAGCTCACTCACCACCGCAGAGCAGCCACTAGGGAGGTGTGTGGGTATGCAGACCCTTGCTTCTGACCTCTCAGCGGGGTTTCTCTCTGAAGAACGGGACTCCCAGCTCCGTCTGCTACTGTTGCCTTGCAAAGAAAAGGAAAAGTGGACCATGGAGAAAAGAAAGGGCAAAAATCAGACTTTTTATCTAAAAAATTGATCAACAAATACTTTGGTGGGTTTTTAAAACTTCCTTTCTCTCCTTAAAGCATAGGTCATTAACTGTAATGTTACTTGTTTTCTAAGCATATGTATAAGATTTTTAATGTAGTTAGAAGTCTCTGTTGTCTAATGAACACAACATGCCCCTCTGGTGTATACTCAAATCCAGCAGGCTCTGTCTGTGCTTGGAGACAGCTTTCTGGACCAGAACGAAATCTAATTTCAGGGAAATGAAGAGAAAAGGTCGCTTTTCAATGGAATCGCTGGTGTTGCTGCTGTTACGCAGTTGGATGGGCCCGTGTCTGTGGTGAGAGGTGTGAAACCTGAAGGAGAGTGGGCTGTTCATGCACTAAACCCTGCAGTGACTTGTGCTTTCTGTTAACTCCGACAAACTGGTGTAGAAAGTCTTTGCTTTGCAAATATCCACTGTTAGAGTGAGCCAAACTGGACCGCCCCTTCCCGTATGCCCAGATAAGGCAGCCTCATTAGGAGACCAGGAAAAGTGGGATTGGAACTGGGGCACATGTGTTTCTCTCTGCCACTGTTGGTGCCCCTCTTTCTGTAGGGCCCATGCTCAGATTGGAATCTGAGCAGTTGGGGATGTATGTTCCATTTCCAGACAAGCTCACCTCTGCTTTGAAGCTTTGAAAGAGGAAGGGTTTTATGGCAGGACCTATGTGGGAGATTTTGTGGTTGCCATGGTAGCAGGAAAGTTAAGACAACTAGACTTTAAGGAAATATATATATATATATATATATATATATATATATATATATATATATATATAAAAAATTTTCATAGCACTCTTTTAAACAAAAAACCTAGAATAAAAACCTACAAATTACAGAAAGTGAGTGCTGGTTAAAATTAATCATCCTCCCTCTTCCTTTATTTCTCCTCCTTCCTCCCAAGCAAATATAGCCTCATAACTAACCCTGACCAGTGCTCAGGCCTTGCCTGCTTCTGGGAGACTACCCTGGGAGTCAGCCAGCTCTCAGGCCCAGACTGTGCGGGGCCAGGCAGTCCCTGCATGAGGTGAGGCAGGAGCACAGGCCAGGCTGCTTCCGAGCAGGCCCCTGAACCCATCCATAAATGAGAAACTCGAGGGGAGTACTGAAGGTTCATCAACTTAGAAACCATTCTTTTCCTCCTTCAGCTACGTGGAATCTATATATCTATTAATTTTTCAAGATTTTTCATCTTGTTTAGATGAAAGAATGAAGGATGATTGTGAAAGGTCTTTGAGGTCTAAAAACAGGTGATTCCTGGAATGTATTTCAAAGCATAGACTTTGTTACCTGCTGCTGCTTGTCTAATTTACAGGGAGATTTAATTTTGTAAGGTGTTTGTATATTTATACAGCTGTAATGAATTGCACATTGGACTGATGGGATGATTCTGCACTGGGTGGCGCCTGTTGGGACTCTTGCAGTCCCTCGTGGGTGCTGTGTTCTGGCTCTCCTGAACAATACTAGGGCTGGGTGTTCATTTGGCATGGGTCCTTCACTTTTCATTTGAGCTCCTTTTTGAAATTATAATCTTTAACTTGCTCTATGAGAAGAAAAGAATAATTATGTTGCTGCTCTTAGAAGGTCTGCTGAATGCATTTGAATTAAACTCTGGCGCTGTGAACTGCAGCCATCTGCTGTAACCAGTGATCCGCCAAGAGTGGGTAAGACCATGACTGTGGAGCAAGTCAGAGATCGTCAGCTGAGAGATTATTGCTGTTACTGTTCAAAAGGCCATTTATGAAGTAGGTATTGGAGCTCTATAAAATCTTGAGAGACCCTAATTACTTCGAGAAAATAAGAGTTGATACAGAACTGGTGTTAAAAACACCAGAGGTTACAACCAGAGGTTAGGGGCATAGCTTAGTGATAGAGCACTCGGCAATTGTGTGATGCCTTTGGTTAGGTCCCGCAAAGCAGAGACAAAAAACCTCCCGGTAGATAGCTGCTCAGACAGAAAGTCCAGGCCCAGGTTGGTCTCGTGCCCAACCCTGGATGTTACACGTTGCTTGTCGTGTCTTTAATTGTTTTTGTTTGTTTGTTTGTTTTCCATGCTGTGTATTCTGGCATCAGTTTTCCCAAGGAATCCACCAGCCTTCTCATGGTTACACATTGTCTTAGACTTTGTGGCTCTAAAGTACTTGTCTGTTGAGAGCCAAGTCTCTCGTCACCATCCCCATGCTATGACAGAACCCATGAAGCATAAGTGGCCTTTTTGAACCAAGACTTTGCAAACTGATCTCTCCCCAGTGAAGGAGTTGAGCACAAGCAACAATGTACATTATTAATTTTGGATTTCATTTTCATGTTTTATTTTGTAAATATCTGATGTTTGGAGCTTGAGTATACAAAATGTAAATACAGTTCTCGTATTTGTACTAATCCTGATTCTTTTGCTGTATAGCCTTAGATGTGTAATGCAGACATTATCTAACTGTGTATTGTAACCTTGCATCACAGAACTGCTAGTGAACGAGGTAAAATTAATAAAGGTACAACCAGTGCATCAAATGACTCTTGTTGTGTTTTAGTCTTGTGCCCTTTGAAAATCCATTGTAAACTAATTTTGTTTCTTACAATGATAATTCTTTATTTTTTATTTTATTTTATTTTATTTTTTGGTTTTTCAAGAGAATTTTTTTGTGTAGCCCTGGCTGTCTTGGAACTCACTTTGTAGACCAGGCTGGCCTTGAACTCGGAGATCTGCCTGCCTCCTCTTCCTGAGTGCTGGGATTAAAGTCATGCAGCACCACCACCTGGCTTATTTATTTGTTTATTTTGGTTTTTTGAGCTAGGGTCTCACAGTGTGATCCTGCCTAGTTCACCTGGAACTCACTTATATAGACCAGGCTGGCCTCAAACTCACAGAGATCTGCCTCCTTCTGCCTTCTGATTGCTGGTATTAAAGGTGTTCGCCACCATACGTGGTAATAATTCTTGTCTAAAATAAAAACCGTGGTGTGGCCTACAGGTTCCTTTCTGACATAACTAGAGAAGTATATATGATACTATTGTTTGAAAGAGTTTTCTGCCAAGTGTGTGAGCAACTATTTTGTCTAAAAGATGTGGGCATTCTCCTGAAGCCCCTTTTTGTAGAACTACCCATGTTAAGTTGTATTGTACTGGAGTCTGAGGAAGGGTGGGGAGGGTAGTAGTTTGAAATTTGCAATAAGCTTCTCCTTGTAAGTAGAGCACAGGCAAGGGACCGTGGTCGTGGAAGGCTGTACCTAAACAAAAGCAATAATGTGGTCAGGTGTGGCAGTGCACACCTGTAGCCTCAGTACTTGGGAGGCTAAAGCAGGAGGATCAAGAGTTCCAGGCCAGGGCTGGGAATGTGTTCAATGGAATTTGAGTATCCAACACTGTTGTGTTTCTACCACAGACTGCAAGCAAATATGCCTGTGGCCTCCACTGCTGTGAGAGGTGTTCACATGTATAACACTAAGTGGAAAGTGTTCAATATATTAATGCAGTGGTCAGCTCAGAAAAGAAAGCTGGCATAGAATTACTCTTCAGGAATGAGGTTTATTAGGAGGGTCTCAAGACCCAGATCAGGCCATGAAGTGATAGGGAGAGCATTAGAAAGAAAATGGTGGAGCTGAGAGATGGCTCAGTAGTTAAGAGCACTGACTGCTCTCCCAGAGGACCTGGGTTCAATTCCCAACGCCTGAATGGCAGCTAACAACTGTTTGTAATTCCACTTTCAGGGAACCCAACACCCATGGCAAAACACCAGTCAGTCATTAAAAAAAAGAAAGAAAATGTATGTGTATATGCATACATGTGCTTGCACACATGCACATAAGTACAAATGTGAAGGGTGCCTTAAAAATCTAGAGAAATGGTTTATTAAGAGTAAGAATAAAGCCGGGCAGTGGTGGCCCATGCCTTCAACCCCAGCACTCAGAGGCAGGCAGAAGCAGCCAGATCTCTGCAAGTTCAAGATCAGCCTGATCTACATAGCGAGTTCCAGGACAGTCAGGACTATATAGAGAGACCCCCATCTCAAAAAAACAAAAGAGTAAGAATAAGAGGGAAGGGGGCTGGAGAGATGGCTCAGTGGTTAAGAGCACTGTCTGCTCTTCCAGAGGTACTGAGTTCAATTCCCAGCACCCACATGGTGGCTCACAACCATCTATAGTGGAATCTGATGCCCTCTTCTGGCATAAAGGTGTACATGCAGATAGCGCACTCATACATAAATCTTTTTTGAAAAGGGGAGGCAGGAGGGAGTGGGGGGGGGGGGGGAGGGAGTGAGAGGCCAGGTGAAAAATCCCTAGAGCAATCCCCAGAACAAAGAGTGTGCTATCCACAAGCTTCTAGGAGGTGGTGGGAAGTTTAACACCACATGATTGAGTTCAGCATAGCACATGGAAGAGCCAGATACCAGTTAGGGCAGTACTGACAGTGTCTGTCCCAGGGAGGCTTTGCCTCATCTCTTCAGGCTGTGGGATCTGGTCAGAACCATGTAAATGTCATTGTAGGAAACAAAGCCAGGTGAAAGACTAGAGGCGTGGCTAGACAGGAGGCATCCAGTTAGACTGTGCTTGGGAAGGCCCTCTTGGCAGCGAGCGCTCAGTTCATCCTACATCACAGAGTATGCCGTGTAAATCCTGTTGGGGAAGTCTCCAAGCAAAAAACTCAAATCCTTTGGACAAGGCACCAATGTGAAGCCAATAAAGGGGAGGGTGACAGGCGATTCCAGGAAGTTGCTAGGACATGGCGAGAGAGGACTAAGAAGGACTTGGCGTGAAATGGAAAGCTAGTGAAGGCATCTGAGAAACCTGTGACATGTTCTTGCAAGATGAAAACAGTCTGGGATTCATGGAGGCAAGAGTAGGAAGTGGCTCTTGTATTCCAGAGATACTGTGGCGTGGAAGAAGCAGGATATGCAGAGAGGTAAGATCAGATTCAATACATATTAAAGATAGAACTAACATACATTTAAAGCTGAGTGTGTTAGGCCATCAAGATGACCCAGCAACTAAAGGTATTTGCCACCAAGCCTGATGACCTGGGTTCTATTCCCAGTTTTCCAGATAGTAGGAGAGAACTACTAACTTCTACAAGCTGGTCTTTGACCCCTACATGCACAACCTGGCACCCATGCCCACATGCATACACATACATACAAAATGAATGTAACTTAATTTTTTTCTAATAAAAGTAGGCTGGCTAGAGGAGGGAAGTGTAAAATGAATGAAAAAAAATTTTTTTTTTGGTTTTCTGAGACAGGGTTTCTCCGTGTAGTTTTGGTGCCTTTTCCTGGAACTCACTCTGTAGACCAGGCTGCCTCTACCTCACAAGTGCTGGGATTAAAGGCGTGCACCACCACCACTGCCCAGCTAAAAATTTTCTTAATTAAAAAAAAAAAAGTAGGCCGGGCATGATGTTTCATGCTGTAATCCCAGCATTTATGGAGGCTTAGACACAAAGATTTTGAATTCAAGACCTGTCTGGGTTACATAGTGAAGTTTTATCACAAAACAAGAGAAAGAACTACCATGTTTGCTGAAAATCTGCATGGAGCTGGAGAGAAAAATGGGAAGCAGCTCACTGGGTATGTGCCTCGGCAGAACAACAGTGTTGCAGCTTCCTGAGGTGTTGAAGATGGCAAAAGGTCTTTCTTTGTGGAGGTAAAGGTTCCATACAGGCAAGAAGACCTGAGCAGTAAGCTGGTGAGAGCCAGAGCACTTGACTTCATAGAGTTCAGGAAGAGGACTTCAGGACATAAAGATTCCACAAACAGGAAGAGGAATGGGCTTGGAGGTTTCCAAAGTGACACTTGGTCACCAGGGTGAGGAAGTATCAGAGAGGAAGGATTCAGTTGCCACATCCTATGAGGCTGATGAGCTAAAAATCAATGGCCACAGGCTTGGGCAACAGGAAAGGGAGTCACTCATTACCATCACTACTCATTTTAGAACCAACTGAGAAAAGAATATGGTAGATGGAGACCACATCATTCCTTTTTTTATTCTGTTTCTTATTTGGGTGTATTCACATGGTATGGTTTGTATATGGAGGACCACATCATTTTTTTAATTGTTTATTGTTTTCGTGTATTCCCACACTATGGTTTGTGTGTGGAGGTAAGAGGATAATTCGAAGGAGTTCATTCTCTCCCACCAATTGGGTCACAGGCATCAAATTCCAGGTTTTCAAATGCCTTAACCCTCTGAGCCATTCTGCTGGCCCCAGTCACTGTTACTATTAATAAAACTGCTACTAGAAGATGCAAATTAGGTTTGGGGCAAATATAGTTTATCTAAATCTGAATCTCAGTAGCTGAGTAGTTGAGGGTTTGGAGCAACTCTTTGTTTTGTTGTTGAAACAGGGTCTCCTGTAGCCCTAGGCTGGCCTTGAGCTTGCTATGTAGCTGAAGATAGCCTTGAACTCCAAGTTCTGAGTGCCAACACCTTGCCCAGTCTATATGGTGTGGGAGGCCAAACCAAGGCTGTGTAAACTAGGCAAGCACTCTTACCAACTGAACTGTGTCCTGTCTCCCCATCCCCTTACTTCTGGAACTTTGAGGATCTTGTTAAAGTATAGAGGGGGAGGGTGTGGTGCATGTATGTGTTAGTTTGTTTTTTGTACCACATGCATGCCTGGTGCCTGAGAAGGCCCGAAAAGGACAACAGATTCCCTGGGACTGGAGTTGTGAGCCTTCTTGTGGGTTCTAGAATCTTCCCAGGTCTTCTGGAAGAGCAATAAGTGCTTTTAACCACTGTGCCATCCATTCAGCCCAAAGATGACCTTGAACTTCTGGTCTTCCTTTATCTACCTTCTGGGTGCTGGGGTTATACTTGTGTGCTGCCATGCCTGGCTTTATGTGGTGCTGGGAAATGAAACCAGGGTCCTCTGGAAGAACAGACAAGGCTCTTAATTGCTGAGCCATCTCTCCAGCTCCCTGGCCTACAAATCTTTATCTTCCAGCCTCAGCTTCCTACGTGCAGGGATTTCGGGTGTGTACCACATGCTCAGCTTTATTGACAATTCCTGTAGAGGTTTTTTTAAATATAACTTTTTAAAAAAAGATTTATTATGTATACAGTGTTCTGCTTGCAGGCCAGAAGAGGGCACCAGATCTCATTATGGATGGTGAACCATATGAACCAATCCCATGGGTGCTGGGAATTGAACTCAAGACCTCTAGAAGAGCAGCCAGTGCTCTTAACCGCTGAGCCATCTCCAGTCCATCCTGTAGAGATTTTTATTGCAAAGGGAGAAAGGAAATGGTGTGACTAGAAGGAGAGGATGGAGCCTGGAGGAGGAACTGATTTTCAGATCTCAGCCTGTCTGTAAGCACTAGGTGTAATGTCGGGCCATGTATCCCTTACCCTCAGCTAGACTTCAGTTTGAACTGGATAATCATCCTTGAGTTTGTTTTACAAAGGTGGTTACCTCGTTTGATCTTGTCTGAGGCTGCCCTGTCTCTCTCCACGCTGAGAGGAGAGGCAGGCAGTCTCATGGGAGTGCACTTTGGTTGTTGCTTTAGCTCTCGGCCTTTATTC